AGGTTTTAAGAAGTTTTGTCAGATTAATTTCATGGCATTGGATCAACAAGTTGAAAATGGAAAAAAAAGGAGAACATGGGAGCACCACAAGAACAATACCAGAGCCAAAGGGGAGTGTGTTCATGTCTTTTTTGGAAATTTCCATGACTGTGTTGATTAAGTATGCAATCTGACCACAAGCACAGGCCTGACTCTAAACAAATGCTCCTGCTCTGCTGCGCAGCCTGTTTAACGGCTGAGGTGGCAGCATTTGCCTTTTTGCATGGGGCAATGCACAAAGATTGGAAATCCTCGGTTCAACATTCAAGCTGAACAACAGCTATCACAATTCACTCAGGTTCAACCATGTGATCAACATGCATCACATCAGTGTAATGCTTACCCCCAGACATGAAGACAAAATGCTCTGCCTTATGATGGTTCATGAACTTTGTGTCTTTCAGAGAACATGTCACAGGAAGTTCCCAGACCACAGAACATGACGCAGCTTAGCGTTTCCATCGTTCTAATGGTTCTCACAGATACTGGCACCAGAGTAATCTGATCTGGTATGGATGGCTGGCTAAACTTCTCTATCCACATCCAGACAGTTTGAGGGTTGACCACAGTGACCGATGTGGCCTGCAGCAGGAGGCCACAGCGGGGCTGTCCCATCTCAGCTCCACCACCTACTTTCTGCTTTGTACTGATAAATATTGTATGATGGTATATTCTGAGGACATCTATCATGATTATGAATACATTTGGTGCAATAGGATTATATTTCATGTCCCACGTATCAGGAGAGCAGAATAAATCTCTGTAACACTTAATAATATATTGCCAGAGGCTGAGCGGCGCTGGGTTATTTCTAGACCTTGATTCCCCTTTTCTTTCCTGCTCTGTCTGTTTTAAGTCAATAAAGTGAGAAGAATTATCTGTTGGTTGTGCAGCACTCCAGACCCAAACACTACAGTTCAGGGACTGCTGGGAGCCTTCAGATGCACTGAACCAGTCACACTCCTCACAGTACAGGAGGCTAATATGACGGATATTACTCCCTCCAGGTGCCTTTCTATGGCCCTGCTCCCAGAGGCCCTGTGGGGTCGATTTAAGAGTTTTTATTAAACTAGTGACAAGCGCTGGCCAGACAGTGCAGTAGTTAAGGGATGTTACAGTCTCATTGCTCATATTTGAACTGAAACTTTACATTTTTAATATTGTACAGGGGGAATCTGATGGAAACCAGCTACAAGTTTAATCCATGTCTCTAATGTTAAGAGCAAGGTCAGCCTCTGTGGCCTTCTCCCCCTCAGGTATGCACTCACTACAATGTTTCCATGAACTCTAACAGCAAAGACTTCTGGGTAAAAACAGGATGGAAACTCCCTAACAAGGCCATTATAAATCTATGGCATACCTCTGGGTGTACAGTATAGAGAGTCTGTCCTTAATGTCCAAGGATGTTATAAATGATGAAACCACTTAGAGCAGTCCAGAGCAGCAGAAAAACATCACCTCAAGTTTTTGTACAGCTTTCACCAAACCTTTTAGCCCTCCCAAATAACTCCAGTCTGTGTGGGCCCTGAGTGTCATTCATTAATAACTTTGTGCATACGTGAATCAATCATGGTTTGATCAAAGCCGCTGCACTTTGGCCTTTAAATGTCAGCGCGTTCTTTCAAGGACTCTCGCGCTGTGAGCAGTCAGACATGTGGATCTGTGTTGACCTGAAGAACTTGGCAAAAAGAAAAAGACAAATAGCTTTTGTGGCGCCATAGCAACAAGTTCAATCCCAGATGTGTTACAAAGCATCAAGTGATAAAATATAACAAGGCTGTTCAGTCTTCAAGTGCATGGTTACAGTCTACAGCAGAAAGAACTAAACTCATCACATATGGAACCACAATTCATCAAAATGCCATAATTACAGATGGCAAGTAGATGTTGCAATATTAAATTTTAGTGTTACGATTATTGTGAAGAATCATCACAATTTTACAATTATTGACAATTACTGACATTATGGCAAAACAACAGTGAAATCTTAAATCTTTCATCACATTGTCTTAAATTGTCATTACTCAAACCTATTTATGAAATAGAACTTTCTCAATTATTAAGTCAAATAAATTTGCATGTTACGTGTAGATTTAGTTTTTTGAGCAAAACTGAAGTGAAATCCATTGCCTTTAAGAAAACAATTAAAATTATTCATTCATAGGTGCAAATCTCATGGAATAATTCATTAAATAACAGTTCTCTGAAATCAAAACAACGCAATAAAAACAAGGGTTATACACACAACATTTATCTCATAATTTCTCTTAGTGAACTCACTGCTTAAAATATATGGTTTAAAGTAAGTTACTCCGAACTTGTTCACAACTCCCTATGCGTCCTTTAACTTTGCATCAGTCAGTGAACAGTGAATTTCCACCCGTCTGCCCTCCATCCTCTCTTATCACACAGGGTGACCTCCCATGAGCCTTTGCAAAGCGCGCCCCAGGGTCCATGGCACCTCTATCTGCTCTGCCTCAGTCACGCCACCCTTTTGCCCTCCTCTCCAGTCACTATCCAAAATAACAACAACAATGGCAATGACCACAGAGTCCAGTTCGCAGAGTGGTCGGCAACAAGCGGCAGTGGCCTTTGGTTCCTGGCAGCTGTCGTTAACGGCAACCATCACCACGACAGCAGCAAGTGACTTACCGGGACACGCACAGCCGCCCACGGACATCTTCTCACATGTCTGGCGTGGATACTATCAGAACGGTTGTATTAGTCCTCCTCCTCTGCTCTTCGCTGACCAGCCAGTGAGCGTCTGGTATCCCCTCTGCACACTTCACACACAAACAGACAGAGCACCACCAGGAGCGGAGAGAAAGAAAGAAAGAGTGAGGGAGAGGAAAGAGAGGAAAGAGAGAGAGAGGAGAGAGACGGCGCTGGTTTAAAAAAAGGATCAGATTCCTCTCCCCAGTTGTGGCTGTACACTGTAGAAAGAGGAGAGCACTGTTCCGCTGCTGCCCTGCAAATTACAGCTCAGGTGGGAGGGGAGTGAGGGAGGAAGTGAGTGCAGAAGTGAGAGCTAAAGAGAGAAAGAGAGAGAGAGTAGACTGTCAAAGTGACCTGAGAGGCAGATTTGAGAGAATAACAACCATGTGATGTGGCCCCCCTTTTAAAAATGCACAGCATTTTTTTTTCTCACGGCTGCAGTTAAGACATGAGATTGTGCGTGTGTGCATGTGTACTGTATGTGTGAAAGTGTCCTGCCATCATCCAGGTCTGATACATGGCACACAGGGCAAAGGGGGGAGAGGAAAGGGGGAGTCAAAAAGCAGAAAGAGGAGGTGGCGACTGATGTGCATCGACTCTTGTTTTCCCTCTCCCTTTCTGTCATATGCCATTCTTGCTTGTGCGCTCCCTCTCTCCCTCTCTCTTGCGCTCCGTTAGTCCGTCTGTCTGCAGTATGTCACTGTGTGTTGCTCGCCCGCTTCACTCATCTTCCTGTCTGCCCATTTATCCACCCTCCACCCCCTGTTACTACTCCACTCTCTTCCCTAAATACTAGAGGCTTTTATACCTTTACTTCAGACTCCATCTTGTGTCTTGTTATCTGCCTGTCTTTGTTGAAGTCTAACATCTTCCTAGAACTTAATCTCAGAAATCTCAAAAGTATGTAATCAACATGTTTAGGGGAGTGAAAAACACTTACCTTGCATTTTCCTTTAACTGCTTAAGAGCCAATTCTTGATCATCTAAGCAAAGATAATCTAAAATTATTGCCAAATGAAGAAAACAAAATGAATTGTTATTGAGTTAAAGTTACTGACAGACTTAAACCAGTAAAAGCAACTAGTGTACTGCTTGATATCAGGCTTTGCAGAAAATAAACAAATGTCCAAATATGGGCATATTATGTTTCTTGAACATGGTCAGGGGCCATGTGACAAAGGCCAAAATGTATTCAGATTGTAGCACATTGTTTATTTTGGACTTCAACATCAGTCTTGTATACAGCACTATATTTACAACGCTGGCAGATTTTAAATGGCTGCATCATTCAAAGGTCATGACCCCAAATACGCAAAGAGATATCAACTTGTTTTATTATAGAAGACATTCAGCGCAGTTTTAATACTAAATAGCATCTTGGTGTTACTCAAATTGCAAGTCCTTTGAATGTGCATAGATGGCCTCGCCCACATATTTCCACTTTCTCTCTTTTTAAGACACTCTTTGCTCTTTGTCTCTCCCACTCCTGGCTCCTCACCCTGTCGCTCATTAGGCAGTGTCTCATTTTGAGGAGGAAGAGTGTTAAGCCAATCAGAGGAGGACGAAAGAAGGAGGGAAGGAGAGAGGAGGAGAGGATGTAGCAGGGCGAGCAACGGATGGATGGGTAGAGAGAGAGAGGGATGGAGAGAGGAGAGAGAGGTGGAGGGAGAGAATAAATAGCTCTGGCGCACTCGTCCCCCATTACCCCGGGAGGGCACTGTCGCCATGGCAATGTGGCAGAAAAAGGATAGCACAAGCATGATGAGCTTCCACATGCACACAATGACAAACTGTGATTCACACATCGACGTGCCCACATCTAACAGCTTGATCGAGACAAGTTCATATTGTGCAACTGGATGTAAAATGCAAAGGTCAAAGTCTTACACCTGCTGAACAGGATTATTTAGACAGTATGGAAGAAATATAGCAAATAGTCAAAGCCCTTGTAACATAATATGCACATCATAGTAAAATGAGAGAGGAAAAAATATGCATTGGTAGTTTGAAAGAGACAATTGCAAGGTTTGGAGAAAAAAAAAATACTACAAAATAGCAAAACTACAAATTTGCTTGTTGGCGAGTCATACCAACATGTACGTAATAGTAAGATTAAGAGGCACAAAGAAAGACGCACTGATACACTGAATGGCAAAACATGAGGATAAAGAGGAAATTCAGTGAATACTATACAAAACGTGTGGTTTGTGTCCACTTCTGGCTTGTGTAGTATTTTCTTATGATGCAATGTACCTGTTAAATAAAATAAATAAATAGACTAAAAGTTCCTTAAATAAATAAGTTAAATAAATGAGAAGTACATTTGTGAGGCATTTGAAAATCTGCTTTCAACACTGACATAACCGCTTACTAAAAAGACTGAAACTAAGGGTATTACTCTACTAAGTTAACCAGCCTAAGGTCTGTGTAGGATTTTATTGACCTATTCATCACAGTTACAGAAAATCATTTGTCCTGCCATTTCTTTGTCTATGTGACCCCAGTGACCCCTCTCCACCAGGAAAATTGATAGTTAACATTCAAACCTAATACATTGTCCACGAAAGCCACACAGCCTGTTACAAAGACTTACTTCTGCCAGTTAAGAAAATGTCACAATTGAACTGTATAAAAGTATAAAATCTGACAAACAAACTCAGCCTTGATTCAAATTCAGCAAAATTCAGTTAAAAGCTTCTCTTTTTGTAATGTTTTTTGTTACAGGCTTCACTTATCTTGAAAACTTGTTTGGATGGCAAACGTGGAGCTTAATTAGCTTAAAAATGTTGTGTTGAATCCAGCCTGAGGGCCAAGCAGAGAGTGAAAGAGGCAGCACGCTTATGTAAGGCACATTCTGCAGCCTGTTTCTCCACAGCTACATTATTGATGCAGGCTTCTCTTTCCATGCTGTGTGTGTCTGTTCATGCACCTGTACGACACCAGACGGCCCCTCACCTCTGCAGCTAACACACAGTAGAAAAGCCCCTCCAGCCTGGCTTTAGTCTCCAACTTCACCTCCCCTTCCATGCATATACCCTGTGGTGTCCTATAAGGAGCCTGTGGCTCCCTCTGCTCCTCCTCCTCTCCTTCTGTCTCTCCAGGCCAGCACTTCCCACAAACAGATGTTATTGCGCCATGTGGGAGGGCATTCCTCATCCCGAAAGCACAAGAAAAAGAAAGTCTGGAAGTATGAGGGGAAAAAATCAGGACACAAGATGCAACACAACTGCCTACTTCAGCAGTTGTATTTATGGACATCCCAGTGGAGCAGGTATCAAGTTAAAGACCAAGAGTGCTTTTGCCTTTTTATAACGTGCTACACACAATATCTGAAAGGTCAACTAAGTATATACAGCAGACTGCGTGACTGACAGGCGTAGTGAGACGTCCGCTGGTGTGGGACAACACAAGTGTGAAGTGGAGAAAGGAAAGCAAATACCTGGCTCCATGGACTTCGCTGGTTGTTTAAAAATTCAAAGATGTCAAAAGTGCACACGGGGAGTCCAGCGGCAGGCGCTAAGTGAGGGAGATGCAAGACACAGTATTATTTTACAGTGGGGTAATAACAGTTCAGTGTAACTATCCATTTTGTAGTGTATTAAAGTTATTATTTGACAAGAAATTTTACCAAAAAAAAATGAAAAAACAATGGTCAGAGGTGTAAACTAATTGCAAATAGTCAAGTTACTGTACCTGTACATGAAACTGACTATACGCTTATTGTATTTAGCTACATACAACACAATTCCAATCTTCAACTCAGAGAATGTGCACTATGTGTACTAAAAATGCTTTAAGATTTAATTAGTACTTAGAATTGTCATTTCCATGCATACTTTTTACTATTTCCACACCATGGCCAGTGGTAGACAGTGGGCTAATGAAATAGTTTTAGGACTGAATAAAAACACAGGAGTCACAAATTCACATGGTGTCTATTTAAGAAAATGAAAGGTGAGAGACCATGATTAATTAAGTGATTGAAAAAAACTGGTTATAGTGACAGATCATTTGAAAGAGATTTTGTTTAACAGTTCAAAATTTCACATTATCAACACACAAAAAAATAAATAAATAGAATACATTTGAGAAATTCCTACAATATTGAAAAGTACTAGTAGTTGCAAATGTGAGTGTGGGGCCATGTAGCAACACAGCGGCTGGATGCTGCAATTAGGTGACCCACTTTGAGGCACTCCCCCTCCTCCAAAACACACTTAACCACCGGGCTCTGAGCAGCACGTCTTCAGCTCCTCTCCTCACCCTCACTCCAGGGACCCATGACTTTTTGGCCCCGATTCAGACTGTAATGTGCCTTCAAGAGTCATAATGAAAAAACTAGGGAAGTTGACTTAAAGACATTGGCCCCAGAACTCAAACAAGCAACACAAAGCATGTGCCATAGCCTCCCTCTTTTTATAAATTGATGTTTTTCTAGCCTAATCTAAATCAGCCTCTGTCTACCTTTGCGTTGCACTGTGACATTCAGCACAAAGGTCGCCTCCTCACTGGTATGCACGAGATAACAACCCAGACACATCCCTGCTCCTCTCGGGGGAAAGTCCAGAGAGTAACATCCACACAGGTATTAAAAGTGAACAATTATATACACCATGACATCTTAGTTTATGGTTTTCTGACAGCTACATTAGACTGGCTGGTGGAAATTAAAAGACAACTTTTGAGGGCCAACAGAAAGCAGCTGTGAACTGTTGAAGACAAATATACGTTTATACAGCGCCATCTTCTGGGTCAACACACTATTGCAGCCCGTTTAGCAAAGCCTCCAACTTGTTAGCCACACATCTTTCTTTGTGTTCCAAGTACAAGACAAGCATAGTTGGTTGACCAAATGAAACATCAAACTGATATTATTTTTTGTCACAGAAATATATTTCAACTACTTTTTAACATGTTTTGGAGGGTGTCAGGTGCCATTGTGACTTTGAATGTATCAAATATCACCTGGTTGTCTTCATGGAAATACAAGCTTAACCCCTTTCTGTGGAACAATGACTCCAGGCTGAGCAATAACATTTTCATAATCCATCAAAAAACCTTTGTAACTATATATAACTAATAGTGAAATAAGAGCCCAAATCAAGGACTCTCCAATGTACTTAGTGTTGATTTGTGGACCTATTTAACCTTAGTCTTATCAAAAATATATCACAATGCGCCATTTTGAAATGTGTAGGATTTCTCTCATCAGTTTGACTTAAAGAGATGGAGCAAAGAATTGGTTACCTATCTTTACAAGCTCTGAGTACATCACAGTGACAACAGCAGCACAGGTGCAAACTGTGACAGATCTGTAACACTGATCGTCTGCTTCAGTGATTTGATGTACGCCAAGCCCAGATATAACATCTCCTTTGCCATTTATCCACCTCAAGGACCCAGGTCTGCCAAATACAATTCTTGGGACACTGTATAACATCTTTAAAACAGCAAATCTGAACATGGACAATGTGGTTGAAGCAGACAAATTTGACATATTATTTATCCAAATTAATGTCACTAAGATAACTGGCTGCAAACTTTATACATTTTGTCTGTTTTTATGTGAAAAAATATAAATATTTGCACTATGTTGCGCCATGTATATTTTCTGGTGGAGGGTCAGCCACGTGATTGTGTCCATGAAGATGTGATTACATTACTCTGTTGACATGGTGTTGGGTTTGCCTTGTCTGTGGAGAGACATGCTTGCTCACAGTAAGGACACATGTTTCGCTAGGTATTTATGTAGCACTTGTCATTTATGCAAGATAAGTAAGTGTCATACTGTGGAACATTCCATGCAAAGACATAACATCTCTATGGCGACAAGCAAATGGCAGACCCTTCATCAAAAAATGTTATCTGTATGTCTAAAACGGCATTAAATAGACAACTCACAGAAACATTTGATATGGTATGTAAATAAAATAATATATAGGCTAACCATTGAATGTATGCATTTGCCAGAATCCAAGGGGGGAAGTATGAATATTTCCTTCATACATGTGAACTATTCAAACGTCATAGTGTCATAATGTAACAAAATATAAACCTTTACTAGTACAATTCACTCAAGTCACTATAACTCCTACTTTTTAGTTTATTTAATCTGGCCATATGCTGCACTGTAAATAACCATAGTTATAGCCTTACAATACTAGTTTGTACAATACTGTAACATACTGAAGTCACTTCAGCTTCTGTTTATTCTTGCCCATGTAGTGCAGCACTGTACATAAAACAGTCACTTTATGCAAAGCTTTTTGTTGCTTACTTTACTCTGCTGAGATGGTGTTAGGTTAATATTTAAGTCTATTGTAAATTTGTATTGTATAATTTATCTTGATTTTCCTGCTGTTGTTAAACTTTGAGTGGCAAAGTAATTCAGACGTTGTGGGCAAATAAAGGTTTATCTTACAGCAACTCAAAATAGGTGTATAATCCAGATTGAGTCATTGTGAGGACTGTGCTGTTGATGCATGTGGGCAAAAGGAGGTGTTGATGATAAATTCACCCAAAAGGCCTACAGATCAGCACCATCAGCACCATAAGCTGGACAGATGAGAAAAGGTGTAGAAAGGGAGTATTTACACGAGTCAATAGCGTGTAGTTGCCGCTAGGTGGCATTTTAATGTGGATAGTTGCCATAAAAATGAATGAATCAAAAATATATCACAAACAATACTACAAATGCACAAAATGTACAAATCAATGCTCAAAAACTTGTCAAATTGGTCAGTCATGGGTCATCGCTCACTATAATGACCCTTACAGGCCAAAAATCATATAATTACTCTACCATGTATATTACATAAATGGCATAATGTATTACATTTAACTACAAAGATAGGCACTATGTCTCATCAATTATTTGGTGATTTCAAACCACAGAGTTAGAAAACTCGGATAATATTTAGTCTAAAGGAAATAAGATCCGTTCCTCAAATCTCACTGACCTCAGACCTGCACTGCTGTGTCCTCTTTGCAGCTCCTCATTGAGAGCTAGCGGGCTGAAACTGATTCCAGACCAGTCTCCGGTTCGCGCCGCGCCGGTACCACGTGGTCCCCATATTGCCTGGGCCATGTGGAGCGGCAAGATGGCGATGCGGGGGAAAAGGAAAGATGGGCATTTTAAACCCGGCAAAGGGTATTTTCTATCCAACAACAGCCCCGATGAGGTACCGCTTTCCTAATTTGAGTCCATAAGGCGTTAGTATAGCGGTTAATGACGCGGGAATAGTGTTTGTATAAAGGAAAGGAAGCCACATGTACCTCCGGACCGACACGTGGCTCAGCTGTAACTGCTACTCGTGCTAGCGCTCAGGGAGTGTGCTCGCCTCGTGTTTTACCTACCGCTCAGACCGCGTGTGTCTTGAAATATATCTGTGCCAAAATAGTAAACGCCTTTATTAGCGGTTTTACCATCGATTATTCAAATGTCAGAGTTGTCAAGAGCTATATTCTCCAAAGTACAGGATGTTCACTACTGCTCCCACCGGCTCTGCCTGTCCCCATCTACCCTTTCACTACTAACCGGCTCTTTTGAGTCATGCCTGTACTCTTTGTAAAATTGGATACTGTATATCTCGGTAGAGCAGACACTTAACCATATGATTTTAATGTGCCGTTTCTTTGAATATGTGCCTCTGCTGCGCAGACTCCATTCATCCCTTGCCATGCCATACATCCGCTTACCTTTCCCATAATACAACTTGAAACCGTGGATTTGTATTACCTAAGATTCCGCATCGCCTGCACTCTATCTTTCAATACATATTGACCCGTGTCAATGAAAATATAAACAATTGAGATGTAATTAACTTTGTTTTTTCTACAGCACTCCATATTTACAGTTTATACTCTGATGAATACACTTTACATTTGAAATAAGTTAAAATTAGTTAAAGCTTACACATTTTACGCCCACAAAATGCGCATGTAGAGAAGATAGTCCTCACCTCAACACAGTCTTAAACCATATTATCTTTAACACAAACCACGCATAAAATAGTTCAGAATATAATTTTTCAGCTTTGTTATAGATCTGATTGGGGCAAAAATTATGAAAATCATAGTCATGATTATCATTTAAGATTATTTTAAACAATTACTTCTATACTGTGAAATAGAAAGCTTAGACCGTCCTTAAAATCCACATTTGATTGAATCAACTACATTTTCAATTACAAAATTGTTGTAATTGAATACAGTAATAATTAAAGATTTGAAATGTTATTAATTACACAGCACTAGTTTGTAATGTCAATGAATTCTTGTGTCTGTTGCAGTTTAACTCAGACATTGAAATGAACACTCACACCTCTGTGGATCACTCCATTCTGGCAATTTTTGAGGATACTTCTGTGTCAGAGGTCAGTGCGAACATATATTTCTATGTCTATGGTGCATTCACTGAGATCTTAAATTATTAATAGGCTATTCTATGTCTGTAGGACAAGGCAGCTGCAGAGGAGGACAGTGTGAAGCTGCTGTCAGCTCTCACAGAGATGTTAGAAAGTGTGGAGGATGATGATGACACTTTATCTCCTTTTAGTAGTTTACCAGAAACCTCACTTCTCACTAAGGTAGGTAACACTGTTTTCCTCAGTGTCTTAATAATTGCATATTTCGGACATCCTCTGAAAAGCTTGAACTATGCCTTTACATTTGCTTTATTGCCATTAGTGTTATTATGTTAAATCATATCTAAAAAACATGTATTTTTATCTTCTTCAGGAGGTGTGTTTGTCTGATACACTCGGAGAGGAGGAAAAGTCTAAGCTTGAAGGAACTAGAAACAAAAAAGTAGATGTTGAAGTTGAAGTTTTTACCTCTTTGTCTCTGGTAAACCTGGTGAAGATCATGCACCCATACTGCCTGAAGCTGCAGGTGGAGGAGGATCCTGAGAAGTCCTTCAAAAGCAGTGTGTTATTCTCCAAAGAAGAGGTGTGGAAGTACCAGAGGCCCACAGAAGACATGGACGAGGAGATCAATGTTGTGTCCGATGATGAAGGATCTGTAGAGAAAATTGAGAGACAGGAAAACAGCAGCAAACCTCTGAAGAGTGTGTTAATCAGTGGAAGTCCAACTAAGAAAGAGAGAAAGAGAGTAAGCTTTGGCCCTGTGCAAGTTGCCGCTTTTGATCTGGATAGTCAAACAAGTGACATTGCATCTTCAGCAACAAACCATAGCCCCAAAGCACATGATAAAAACACAGCGCTTCAAGCTACAGATTCTTCAGAAAATGACCAACTGCCAGTTGCATGGCCACAAAAACCTGAGGGAAAAATAAAAGAAAAGTTAAGTCTTCAGCAGTACAGGCAACTAAGACAAAAGAGACAACCCCTGGTGGAAAAACAAGGCAATTACACCACCAAATGGCCTGCTGTGTCTGTGCCCCCAAAAGAGTTGACTCCTATACCTGGAGTGAATGGACTGAGGCAGAGTAATTGTAAACCAACACATCATTCAACAGGTGTTTCTCATGGGTCAAAAACATCATCTAATGTTCAAACTGTAAAAATAAAGGCTTCCAGTTATGTACCGCATAAAGCAAAACATTCAAGACCCAATGGCAAGACTCAACCTTTTGCCCCTCTTCCTAATTTACCTGCTCAAGTTTGTAAGAAAAGCCCAACGAAGAAACAAACAATCATGAGTAGTGATCCTCCAAATCCTGTTCTTGTACCCCTGCCAGTTCAGCCCCCACCAACGAATGAACCAGCACTTACCCAAGATGAGTATTCCCACAATCAGCACTCAACTGAAGAAGCATTTATGGCAACATGTAACAAAGCTTCAAAGTGTGACAACCAAAGTGTCGTCCCAGGAGAAAAAAATAAACATTTACCAAATACCCTCAGCTTGACAAACCAATGTAATCTGATGCCTGTAAATAGTCCCCCCTCTTTGCCTTATGAACCACTTACGCCAGCCTCTACCCCAGTCAAGGAGATGACACCTGAGGTCGCCTTTGGGATTTCATCACCTTCTCATCACTCACCGCTGTGCACTTCCTCAGGTCAGATATAGATTTGTTTTTATTTTATAATCAAGCTTTGAATACAAATACTTATATACACACACAACAAAATGTTTTAGACTGCTTGAGTTAATTGAATAGAGACTGAATTGTTTGAAAACTTTTCAATTGATTGGTCTTTGTTTCATCTCTGTTATTCAGGAATCGAAGCCTCAGATCTGACCAGTCTGCTTGAGCAGTTTGAGGAAACACAAGGTGACCAAAATAACACACTCTTTAGTGAAGTTTAATCAGCCATGTTCTAGTACTTAAAACTTTTTGTTCCTTTCATCTGCAGCTAAAGAGGAAGGAGGGACTGAGAGAGCACTACAGGTCAACGGTGAACACTTTAGTAAATTAGATTCAGCTGCTTCAAATTCAATTCTGCAGGCAATCTCACTCTCTTCTCCTGACCCTACACTTCCTACTACTGAGAAACCATCAAGCACTTCTGGTCCCATAGCAGCACTCTTAGATGGTCGCCCACATTTAAGAATCCCAGAACCATTTGGCACTGAAGTCATCCTCGGCACTCAAGAGCAGCCTGTAAAAAGAAAAGGACCTCCAATCAAAGCTATACAGATAATCGACCCTCGTCCAATGCCATTCAAAAGGACACATACAAACCTCACAGAGTCGGCTTATACCTCTCCACATGTATATGCAGCTATATCTTCTGATCATGATTATTGCACTGTCTTGGACGCCAGCAAAACCTCAAGTGAATCAGAATCCACTGAAGTCAAGTCACCTAACCCAAATGCCCCAGTTTCATTCTCCAAACAAATAATAGTGGTTGATAAACTTGAAAATTCAGTGGACATGAATACAACACAAGAAGAACAGACAAAGCCGCCCACAAGTCAGGCAGCATTATTAACAGATGGTGTCAAAAATCAAAACTCCAGTGCCTCCTGTGATATTCGCCTGGACCCGTGCATTGTCCCTCCCACTCCGCCGCCCAGTCCACCATTCAGAGGGAGAGACAGGAGGCGGTACAGGAAGAGGTCACGTAGTTCAGACTCAAACTCCAGCTCGTGCTCTTCATCCTCCTCATCCTCCAGCTCCGGGTCCTGCTCTCCAAAAAGACAGAAGTATGTTTTCTTTTTGATTGTTTTATTAACCACGTAATTGTATTTGGGCATGGAAATTATTTTTTTGAGATTCTATAATGTGTTGATGTCTCTCTATGATGGTGTGGGACCCTGTATCAATCAATTCTGTTTGAATTTTTTATTCATGACAGGGCTTTAAAGTCTGTATCTGCAATATTAGTTTTGTAAGCCTTGCATGATCTAAACCCACACAGTTGCTGAACAAATTATCTGAGCATTGACATGTTCAATAGCAACTTCAATACAAAATTCCTCCATTTCAACTACTCACCCCAGAATGTGCTGATTTGTCTTTTTGCAGACGTCACTATCGGAGTTCAGACAGCAGCTCGTGTTCATCCTCTCCATACAGCTCTACTTCACGCTCTCCACCACGACACAAACAGCAGTTCTCCAGAAACAGATTCAGCCGGTCTAGATCCAGTTCTTGGTCTAGATCCAGATCTCGGTCCCGTTCTTATTCACCCTCTCAGAGAGTCGAAACAAGAAGAAGACTGGGAGATGTTTGCAGGTTTGTGAATTTAAAACATGTGAAGTTATTACAGACTTATATTACAACTACTGATTTTGACATCTGGGCTTTGCTTTCACTGAGTAATAAGAAATTATCTTTCCATGTATAGTTCTGTGACCTCCTTACTTCATTTTGATGCTTCTTTTTTTATTGTAGCAGTCGAGAGTCAAGAAAGCTCAGAAGGGAGCGGGAAATAAGGGCCCAGAAACTCAGAGCCATTGTAAGTACCAAAGAGCTTTAGATTTATGTGAATGATGAATCGTCTGATAATACTGTGTGTGATAAACTAAAGGATGAGCGGCGAGTGGTGTATGTGGGCCGTATCCGCAGGACTATGACACACGAAGAACTCAGAGAACGCTTTACCCAGTTTGGGGATGTGGAGTCTGTCTCACTTCACTTTAGAGACAGGGGGTAAGACTATTTTCTCTTTAGTTTTCAAAATGTTGGATGCTGGATTTCGTATAAAGTCGATTACATTTTTCAACAGTGACCATTATGGCTTTGTCACCTTTTACAACATGGAAGATGCGTTCGCTGCCATTGATAATGGTGGAAAACTCCGGAGGCCTGATGAACTTCCATTTGACATTTGCTTTGGTGGAAGAAGACAGTTCTGTAATTCGAATTATGCAGATTTAGGTAAGGCTATTAAAATAAATTGTATTTTTGTTTTTATGCAATAAATTCTGTAGTGTAATCCAATAATTGATTGATCTTCCTTCTTTAGATGCAAACCGGGATTTAGACTCTTCTCCTGTCCGAAGCAGATTTGAGGAGGTCGACTTTGACTTGTTGCTCAAACAGGCTCAGAAAGGGTTAAAGAGGTAGCTCAGATACATAATTTAAGATATTAATTAACCTCAGGGCTTAAGCTCCATGTATGTAGCAACTAATTATTGTATAATGTAATGTTTACAATAATGCATGTTTGAATTGATGTTTACAATGAATCTTATAATTTGTAGCACTGTTGTTTGCATAAAACTATTATTCTTTATATAATGTGCTTCATTCCTTTTAATGCATTTCAAGTTTTTCTACATTTATATGTAAAGAAATAAATATGACTGTTTTCTGGTTGACTAAATATTGAATTTTAGTTTTGAAATTGTCAAGCAAATTATTATATTTATATTTATGAGGTTATTTCTAGTTAAGTTCTTGCGTTCATGGGATGGACTGCCCGAGGCTCCGTTTAATAACAAGGGACACTGGCCCTTTAAGACGTCCTCCTGGTAGTTACACGTACTCACGCCGTGCCTGCAGGATCATTGGTCTTGTGGTCCGGATGAACCTGAACTCCAGTAAACAAAATAAATGATTATAGTAATTTTCTGCCGAGGCGTGTACAGCTTTAGACTTTAGATCAATATATTCCGATGTTATGCAATCCAGAAAAGGACTGTGCAAGCGTGAATGTTCGTCAGATTAAAATCTTGGAGCAGACTGATAGGTGACGTTGTACAGGGAACTGCTGCATTGAAAGAAGAAGACAACATTACACTAAACATGTCGAAGGCAGAAGCTAACGTGGAAAAGAGGCGTTTTATCAGCGGAGTGGTGGAAGGTGAGCCCTATTGATAAAATGTGTTCATAATCAGCATTAAATTCCATGCAGAAGTATATATGTGTGTCTGTATAATATATATATATATAATATTTATTTATTTTTATAATTATAAGTGAACGTTCAAATCACTTTAACTTGTGACTAAAAAAATCTGAAATGTTTATGCAGGTTTTTATGGACGACCATGGACTATGGATCAAAGAGCTGAATTATTTAAAAGGTGTGTAATGATAATCAGTGAGAATCAAATCCAGTTTTTATTGAGTAACATTATTGCCATTGACATAACATTTTCAGGGAACAAAAGTGGGGACTGAACTCATATCTTTATGCTCCCAAAGATGACTACAAACACAGAATGTACTGGAGAGACTTGTACTCTCCACAAGAGGCTGGTAAGTGTGTAACATGCTATTTTGTTTTTTTATTTTTTTATTTGCTATTTTAAATTGTTGTACATTTTAAGAGTTCCAGTAAAATAATACTTATTTTGATTAATAGTGTTTTCCTTTATTTAATATTTAGAGAATGTAATCATTATTACTCCTATAGGCCTATACATGTAGTCAAAGAAATACTACAAGAGGCAACTTTGGTTTTGAAAATGGACTGCCTGAGAATGTGCTTGCCTCAACTAGTCATTATCTTTTCATAACACAGTTTTAATTCATGTTATCTGATTTTATATATATATATATATTAACTAAAACTGAGATCTCATTTTATATTGAAGCATCTTGCTCAATACACTTTGGACCATAACGGTAATTTCGTGTCATCTTTATTTTTATTACAGGGAGTGTCATCCAAATGGCACTGTATATTGCTATTTTACATTCATGGGCAGATTTCTTTTTCCTTGTTTTTTAGAACAACTTATAGCATTGATATCAGCAGCTAGAAACCACAATGTTGAGTTTATCTATGCAATCTCCCCTGGTTTGGACATTACCTTCTCCAACCCGAAAGAGGTTGCTGCTCTGAAGAGGAAGTTTGATCAGGTAGATCTGAAAAACAAAGGTGGGGCTTGGTAAATAAAGGTAAACCTTTATTTATGTCATGTTACCATGGTATATTTCAAACCACTAATCACTAATACAACCTCTATAATTTCATCAGTTATATTATATTCTATTCATAAAACTAATTTTATTTCACACATATTAAGATTTTGACAGACATAAACCACACATTTTGATTCCTTTCTCTTTTGAAACTTAATAGCTCATTTTTGAAAACCGTTTGTCTTCATTTCTTTTAGGTGAAGGAGTTTGGCTGCAGATCTTTCTCTTTGCTTTTTGACGACATTGAAACAGAAATGTGTCCATCCGATAAGCAGGCCTTTACCTCCTTTGCCCATGCTCAAGTGGCTATTGCGAACGAAGTATTTCAGCATCTGGGTCAACCCGAAGTCTTCCTTTTCTGTCCCACTGGTGAGTCAAACTTTATTAGTCCAATCACATTATATTAATTCAGTCCTAACTTCTTTTTATTATTTTCAGATTACTGTGCATCTTTCTGCACACCCAATGTGCCCCTGTCAGTCTATTTGCAAACAGTTGGTGAGAAGCTATTGCAGGGCATTGACATATTGTGGACTGGTAAGGTACCAAACAGATCACTAGTTTTGCATGTCATACAAATGAAATTGTTATAACTCTGTTTATTTTTAGGTCCAAAGGTTGTGTCTCATAAAATTTCAGTTGAGTCAATAGAGGAAGTGTCTGCTGTGCTCAAAAGACCCCCTGTAATCTGGGACAACATCCACGCCAACGATTATGACCCTCAGCGACTGTTCCTTGGGCCCTACAAGGTGAGCTCCCTCCTAAATAAATAATATAATAGTCAATATAATCAAATTGATAATTGTGTGAATTTACTAGGATCGGCCAACAGATCTCATTAGCAAGCTAAGAGGAGTTCTTACAAATCCCAACTGTGAATTTTACCCTAATTTTGTCGCCATACACACTTTGGCTACATGGTGCAAAGCTACTCCAGACGAGGAGAGTGATGTAGAGATGAGTAAGTGTCCTACTTTGAAGACTGTTTGTATCATAACTTCCTTTATTCCAGACCCATCACGGTTTGATCTCTATTTAATTGTTGCATATATGTTAATTTATGTAACTTGAAAGTTAAATTAACAGTTCTTTAACTTTTTATCTGCAGGAGAGGAGGATCAGGACCCATGCTACAGCCCACAGAAGGCTTTAACTCTGGCTCTAACAGAATGGTTGCAAGAGTTTCTCAATACAGATCAAACTGGAGGTAACACCTAAAATTGTTGCTGTGTTCTACAAACCTTCCAGCATCATAGACCTTTCTTATCACCTTTCCACTGTATATTTTATATATTCTTATCCTTGTAATATTTTACTATAATTATTCATTGTTTTATGTTTCACCATCTTCTAGAAGAAAATTCCAAGTGTGAATCTAATTCTAGTTTCTAATTCTACTTTCAGGACCTCAGCATCCTGCATCCCGACTGAGAAAGGACCCCTCAGAGGAGGAGCCCATGCAGACAGATATTGGAGAGGCTGGATATGTTCCGAGACCAGATGAAAACCCACTGTACACCGCTGAGCCCCTCACCCTAGAGGATCTCAAACTGCTCTCAGATCTGTTTTATCTCCCATATGAGCATGGGCCCACTGCACGGACTATGCTGCAAGAGCTGGACTGGCTCAAGAAACACAGTTGGGCTGCTGCTGCACAGACTGAGAAGGTACCAAATGTAGTTACCAATTTTACATTGACTTACATTTAGATTATTTTACAACATACATTTTTATGAGCTTCTGACATTGTAACAGTGTTCTTTAACATCTTATCTAAAGTAAAGTTTCTACCTACCCCCATAACCACCCACTTTCCTTCATAACTTCGTAATTAAATAATTCTGACTCTGTATTAAACATGTAGGGTTTCAAAATATTGTTTAGCCAATTTTAATAATAATAGTAATAAAATTCTACTGGCTAGAGTGAAATGCCATTCAGAAGAGGCAGGGCATATCAATTTTGCAGTTTTTAATATGCCTTGTAATGGTGGGTATGATGACTGTATTTGCAGACAGCTGAGTGGTGCTCAAGAGCCCAGCACTTTGATAAAATGTGTGAAGCAGTAGTCCAGATGTTTAACCGTCTCTCCAACGCACCAAACCGAAGAATCCTGTATGACCTCTACAACTACATCTGTGACATCAAGAGCGGGGTGGGGTTGGCACGCACCTATGTCAAAACACTGAGTGAGTAAAAAGGTGTATAGTATAATATCACATGCCTTTAAAAATAGATTATTAATGCAATCCTTCTGTCTAGGTGGGCAAGGACAGCCATCGGCACATGTGATGAATGATGATGATCCTGAGCCCTGGGGCTTCAGAGGAGGTCTCTCAGGAGAGTTTCAGGTAAGTACACAGTAATATCAATATTTGTGCACTACCAAACAATACTGTAAGTCAATAGTAGTAAATGTCTGTTTTCAGAGAATGCTCCCAGGACATGGAAACAGAGACCTGTTCAAACATCCTCCATCAACAGCAGTTTACTGCATACGCCCATTCTGCCCAGAGGATAAGGTCAGTCATTTCTGGGGAGGGGGCACTACTGAAATCTAAATGGCCACCCCAGGTATGCCACTGACCATGATTTAAGATTAATGATCCACAAAAAAAGTGTTAAAGATTCAAAATTCTTGACTTAAGCTATCCCTGGTGCAATCATTGCCAGTTGCCCACCCTTTTTTTAACCTTGTTTTCATGTTATAGGTTCATAGTCAATTTGTTGTGTTTGTTATAGGATAAGGTCCAGAGTATTTTCAGGGAAATGCAGAGACCAGAAGGGGACAAGGCTCCTCTGATGATGCCGCAGCCTCTTATGAGTGACATGTAAGAATAGACTTATGTTACTCTACCTTTCACATGAAAAACTTGAAATATATGTGTTCATTGCAGACTTTTGGATGTGGAAACCCCTCCTTCGCCTCACTGCGCTCTTGTGGTGGAGGATGAGATTGCAGTGTGTGGCTATGCTTTTGCCCTGATGGATGCAAAACCTGCTGCTGTTAAGATTCAGGTGAGACTGAAGTGAACTGTTGAGCATGTTTTTTTTTACATTTTAGCTCAGAGATACTCAACATTCTGTTATTGTCCACCAGAGGGAGTTGGATGTCTCTGTGCTGAAGGACTTCCCAAGCCTGCTCACTGTACAAGTGCTTCCTCGGGTCACTGATCCCTCTCCAGCCAAGCGAATGATTAGTCATTTGTTGTCCTCCCTCAAAAACAGCGGTAGGTCCATGTACTTCTTTGTGCTGGAGCATTAATAAGCTCACTGTTAAGTTTTTGATTATATTTTACCATTTTGATGTATATTGCAATTATTGCATTACTTCACAGGTTCTGCTGGGGTGCTCTGTGAGGCGAGACACAGCGACAAGAGAATGCTTGATTTTTACAATAAAATGGGCTCATTCAAACCAATACAAATCCTGGGTCTACCTCAGGACATAATTGTTCTGGGAGCAAAACTTTAGAAAAAGAATTAGATTTGATTTTAACTGATTCTAGACATGTGATTTCAGACCAAATTATTAAAAGCTGAAGATCACAATAGAAATGCACTACCAATGTACAAAAAGATATGCTGCCGTTTTTAACACTGATTCACTGTTTTTCCTCCTGTATTTGTGTTCGCATCCATGTGATTATATGCCACAAATTGGACAAAATTGTTTAAATATTAAGTTTAATCATTTCAGTACTGAGAATAAAAAATAAATATTTGATTTATTTGTAATAAAATGTTTTAGTTTGGGGTTATTACAAATAAATTGCACAGCTGAAGGCAGTGTTTCCAGGTAAAAGTTAATAACACATGAAATGTAGTGAACTCATAAAAGACTATTTCAAAGTAAAAACAGCATTCAGTTAAGTTCAAGTAGTTAAGGACATTCACTATTTGTAGATCGAAAACCTCTTCCCCTGAGTTTAAGTTAAAATGTGTTATGAACAGAATAAACAGTGGTTATAGGCATATTTGCTTCACAAAAATATCCATTCTGGCCTTTAGTCTCCATTGCTTCTCTTATACAGATAGTTAAAACAATATTGCACATTAACTACAGTAAAGTAATGCTTTGGACCTGTCTCTCTCCTAAACCACAGCAAATATCCTTAAATAAACTCTAATCCCTCGTACTTCACATCCCCTATCTTTATCTCAGGCATGAGCACATGTCCATCCAGTGTGAATGCCATCATATATGTGGCTATTTTTCCAGCATCCTCTTCTGATTTTAGGGCCACAATAATCTTATCCTCTGTACCTGGGACAAACTTAAAAGAGGAAAAGCCATGTGTTGGATTGAGTGGGCCAACTTGACTTAGTTGTATGTAGCTAAAGTCTGCTGGGCATGACAGGAGCAGGTTTGTGGCTCTGCGCTCATCTGCAGTTTCTTCATAGCGCTCGTGACTGGCCCGTCGAGGGAGGAAAAACCACCGCTGAAGGGTCTCACTCCATACAGCAGATTCATGGATAAGATAGCCTATAAAAAACAGAAAGATTAGTACTCAAATCATTACAATAAAATTATCACTGCTTCTATTGTACAACCTGGTGGATGGATCCCAGCAGCGTTTCGTAAGCTGTTGTAATTCAGCACCCAGTTTTCATGGTGGACATCACCATGACAACCAACAACCTTCACCCACTCTGGGTTATTGTTGACCACCTCTCCTGAAGTCGTGGTCCACTCCTTTCCCAGGCCGCCCACATAAAGGTGCTCGTCCTTAACGGCCAGCCATTCAGCCTTGAAGCCTGTGCATAAAGTAATGGCTAATATGTTAAAATGCAATTGGATTTTACAGTTTATGATGTAATTCTCATTCCTATGGAGACCTTTTGAGACTGAGCCATCTCCGTCAGGCAGTATGACCCAGGGCACAGCGCGGCTCCCCTCGATCCTGAACACCACCCCAGTGCGATCGTCCACACTATACAAGTGTCCATTGAAAACGACCAGCTCCGAGAGCTCCATGCCTGAACAAAGCAATGAATAAACAAAGGCTCATACAGCGCCTCTTTGTATTCCTAATATGGTAACAGAACTGCCATCACTTGTACTGATTAAGCTGATTAAAGAAATGTATAAACTGCTTAAATGATGCATTTCTAAAAATCAAAGAAGCTGTGGGTTGATGTTTGACACTTCCTTGTCCTTAGTTTTTGCTTGCATTTGTAACGTTATATGACCACCTAATGTTGCAGTAATTATATTCTTACACTTTACATTTACCTCTTCCTTTCTCGGACAGATGACTCTCGAGTGTTACTATGTCCGTGTCCCACTCCACCTGCAGACTGTCCCCACTGTCTGAGAGCTTGAGGTGTCCTCTTTTCATGTAGCTGAACCAGGTTTGCTCCTTTGAACTTCTGGAGGCTGTGTCCAGGTCTGCGATTAAACCAATCCGATACCGAACACCATCCTTTGTCCTCTGTGGTGGACTCAGTGGATATGTTTTGTTATAAGCAGTTTGCCTTCTCTGGCGTTGAAAGAGTCTATATGGATCTTGTTCATATGATTCAATCATGACACCTTCCTTATTATGTAATGGCAATTTGTGAATGCTATGTGCTGTGTCTTCAACTGTCTGACGCAGATACAACATAAGCACTAGAGCCAAAGTGGTCACTGCAGCCAGTGTCCGCCACTTTGGTTGGAAGAGCACGTTGGAGGAAGCCATATGTGAGGCTAAGGCCAGGGGCAGACCTCTCATGTAGATCAAGAAAGAAGTTATAGGGGCTTCATCATTTTCACTCTGAAGACTGCACTGGAGGGTAGGGCTTCCTGAAACAAGGCAAGGTAGAAGAAAGCTATAATAACCCTTTTTTATATCTTTTAAGAATAAAATTTCATTAAAAAAACAAAAAAACAAAGGCATACCTATTTAAAATGAGGAAATGTAATGTGCTTGTACCAGCGTTTGAATCAGTAACAAGTTACAGTTTAGGAAAATATTTTAGACAGAAAATTTGCAGATTTTACTTCAAGTATCTTGCTGATTAGTCTGGTATTAACTTGATCCTGTAGAATCCACTCTAAACACAGAAATCTTTTCATAAGAAACCTTCTTAACTTTCTGATTTGATAACTTTTAAGTGAAACAAAAGACAAAGTCAAAAGCAAAATAGTAGAACAAATTCAAACAACTAAAATTAAGTGACAAATGCAAACCCTCTGCACTACTCTGTTTTATTTAAGATGAAACAATCAGTCACGCAGTAGATTTAATCTTATGGAGCAACACATAGGTGTGACCACTGAGTGCAACCAAATGTTTATACTCTTGTCAGAGAATATAATTTTAGGCATCTTTAACGTCTTTAAAATCTGCAACTAACACATGCGGTTCACAGTGTAAACACATGTGTTTGTCTGTTGAAATTGTACACTGTACTGAGCGCTTTCTCTTGGATCTTTTCATCGTGCTAATCCTAGAGTACAAACAGACTTCTGACACAATACAAGTTGGCAATGGAAACCGATATTTTGACCAGAAACAAAGCTCTTATTTTCCCTGTTGTAGACATGGCAACTACCTCCCACCTCTCCACAGCACAGGCCCAGTTACACTGTAAAGTCTAAGAAGAATTAAGTTATGCACCCTTTCTTCGCCTATCTGCAGTGTGCTCTGTTACCACGCTGTCGCTTCCCATCTCTTTATGCTTCCCAAAACATTCCTGGTCCCTGTAGCCTGGTGGCCCATACGGATCACTGATCTCTATATGGCAAAGCGCTCTGCCTGTTTCCTCTTGCCCCTGAAATGCAGAGAAAGAACGGTGTTCTTGATTACAATGACAGGAAAGGGGATAGGCTTGATTCTTACATAATACATGTAATTGCAGTTTTTCATACTAGTCCGCTGTGAAAAAACTTGTTTGTACTGCTTTCATACAATTTTTTACTTTGTGTACTTCTATGATTCTACAGATATGTTAGTTACGCTATAGAAGAATCACAGTCTGTGATTTTAATTGTTTATTCTTTTAAGAATAATTGTTACATATGATGATAAATAAGTCATTGCAAGTTATTATCGCCATACATCACAGAATATGTGGAACTAAACAAAACTGTAAAGATAACTATATGCATAAATTACAGGAATTGGACTGGACGTACTGTGCTGTTTTATGCATGATCAAGATAGTCGAGGTACAGTCAAAGATACAGACCCAATAACAAATGATTCATTGCTATTCTGTAATTTGAACTCATAAGGAAGTCTTTTTGTAAATGTTCATCTGCCATCGACCACTTAAACTCCAAATGTTCTGGTAAGTCACACAAGAGTAAACACGCCAGGTTGAGAACTTTATCTTTGAGCTTGTACAAGGCGAACCGTTCACAGTAACAAACTGCATTTAACATCCAGCATAATAAGCATAATAGGCTTATAAATAGACTTAAATCGTGTGTAGTTGCTTTCTTGGTTACGTTTTATAACATTTGCTACGACACCCAAATGGTTAGCAAACGCCCGCTAGCAACTTCGATTAGCATTTTTCATGCAAACATAAAGTTTAAAAAAATAAATAAATTGTTGTGGATCCAATCATGCAGCGCTTACCTGCTAAAGAGGATGATCGTGTACGCCCAGCTGACCATAACTGATAAAAAGTACATTTATCCATAAAGCTGCAGGCTTCTTCTGACTGGCCCCTCCTCTCGGCTGATCTGAGTTCAGGTAAAGGAACGACCAGTAAAGGCAACGTGTACCAGTGTTATACGGTCTATGATTGTAACTACCTCTGTAATCAATATTCATCAAAACAAAACAGAACAAAACAAAAAAAACTTCCATAGTCATGATAGTAAAATACAGATATCATGTTAAAGCCACAGTATGTAACTTCAAAGACTAATATATATACATACATATACCTATAGCCTTATTGTCTGAGCGGACTTCTCTCCACAACAAACTTGGGTGTTATCTTGGCCTGCAGGAGGGAAATTCCATGGAAATTTAGGTTTTTTGGTTATAATTCTCCACAGTAATAAATAAATCATATCTATCTCCATGGGAAAGTACAGCTTAGCTAAAGTTCTACCTCTATTCAAATACTTTCATGAACAAAAATACAAATAAATACAATGTTAAATGCTTGTTTATTGTTATGATTGTCATAAATATGCTGATAAACATCATGGCACAATATATTATTTCTGATACATTTTCAACCAGCACAAGTGCATGAGGCTACTTTTAATAAAAGCTATGTTTTTTTTCAGCAACAACAAATACTTATATATACTATAGTGTAAGTGATTTGCACCAGTATCACTATAAGTCAAAGCTTTCACAAATTGTAGAAAATACAGTAAAATTCCCTGGGATAGTTACTAGCTATGTGTTTGGGCTACATTCATTTTGACATAACCCTGTACTGGTACAGATTATAGATAATATTAAGATTACAGACATAAACTTTTTTAGAAAAATAAACATTAGTCAATAAAAAACTTCTCTGATGAAAAAATAATAATCATTGTGATTACAAATAGTTAGTAACAGACAGCGCAGACAGTGACTACTTATAACCTTGAGACAGAGTAAAGATAGTTAACACTGCTAATGTGAACTCAAAACCACCTGAAATCTGTCTTTTGCATAACTGTCATTGTTCAGAGGTGTTTGTTAATTACAGATGGCATATGGCATTACAACCAGAACTCAGCACTTTCCCATTATCTTCAACAGAATCTGCAATAAGGATAAGTATGAAATCACATATGTTAAATTTATTATCCTTAGTTATATCAACAAATCGAGGCTTAATAGAAGCTTGTACCTTGGTCAAGTAGTACTCCCCGTCTACCAGGCGCTCAATAATGTTGAAGTGGTCTGTGTTTGGCACATCCTCCAGTGTCACATTAAGACGTGAAGCCTCCAACATCTACAACAGTTCACACAGTAGTTTAATTAACTGTAAAACATTAGTAACAAATGTAACTATGGTTCTATGAATCCGGGAGGAACGCCAGCAGCACCGCCCTCCAACAGTCAGTAGGGATTATTACATAGTAATTACATTTACATTTTATGTTTATGGACATTTACATTTGTCCATAAAAGTATAATAAAATATTTTATCACTTCACATAAAATTAAATAGCCAAAAGTGTAAACATGAATTAGTTCCATCTGAGTACTTAGTGGGGAGTCAACATGTAATCAAAATCAATTTTTTTTTTTTTTTTTTACACAGGAGAGCTACTTTTACAAAATGAAAGTAGCAGAGCTACTCCTGTTAGCAATCGCAAAATAATAACAGTGTCAGCTAGCCTTACATGAGGTAGTGTTAGCTATAAAACCCTTTTTTTAGTGCATCAAAAGTTTAGATTTAGAATGTTAATAGCTATATGATGCATCAAATTATAATTATTCAGTGTAGTATGCATAATTCATGCAACCTTTGTGAAGTTACTTGGAATGGAATGGAGAGGTATAAGTTGGAGACCCCTAGTCCAGTAGCTCTAAAACTTTTCACATATAACATAACAGAACTATTCCGGGTCTAATCTAGGGCTAAACCAGGTCTAAAAGTGGACTACAAGAAATTATCCAAAAGAGGGCAAAAAGTGAATGAAATGAACCTCAACCCCAAATTAGGCAAACCTACATATGGAAGAGCTGACCTAGTACCAACTGAGGGAGCTCAGTTGGTCAGTATTGTTTTTACTGTCGATTTATGATCAGAAGCACTAACTTTGTAGTATTCCACAGACTGCTTGCGAAACTCTGGGGAGTCATGTTCAGCCACAGCTACAATGATGTGACAGCCTGAGGAAGAGCTCTTCAGCTGCTGGACCAGCCTCGTGGGGCTGTTTCTAATGGCCACCTCTCTGAAAACACAACACCCACACAGCATCCTCAACACATTTAGAAACATACAAGACCACAGCAACCAAACTACTGCTATTCTGGACACGAACAAGAATAACACTGATAGTGTAAATATAAATACATTGATGAGATAAAAAAAAAAATCTAAACATTGACAAAATGTATGATCACACCATTTACTTAGGATGTGTTCACAATTGCATAAGCACCACATCAAAACTGGGACTAAACTGGAGCTAAAACCAGAACTAAATCTGATTCTGGAATAGGCCAAAACAAAACTAGGACTAAAATGAAACCAAACCAAATCTATATTAGGACTCAAACTGTAAAAGATAAAATAGTTGTAAATGCTTAACAACTGTATAATACTACATTATATTCTACGTAGGAGGAATTTAATTTTAAATGTAATTAAAGAGTATTAAGCATTTCTGGCAACATGGGTGATGGATAATGCCCATGTTGACAAAAGGATAATGATTTCATTACATCTGAAATAAATTAATATCCGCCAAACTTCAAAGCAAACACACTTAGTCCAAAAGGAACAGTACACTTACTCTGTCATTTTCAGAGGCTCATTGACATAGGTGGACACAATGGGTAAGAGGTCATAAATTCCACTGACGAGGAATGCGCCTGCCAGGAAAAAAATACATAAATTACTGTGGTAAAAACTGCTAATTTGCCAGGTTTTTATACCAAGCATACCTTTAATTTGTGGTGTAATGCTATACTGGGACCAGTCAGTGGACAGAACCATGGCAGCCAATTGTGCCCCAGCCGAGTGTCCACAGATGTACAGGCCACTTTGAGAGAAATTAATAAAATTGAAAAATGCATAGATGATTATGCTTAAAGATGCATTGAGTAACTGGTGGAGAGTCAGCCACCTGCTTTTCTCTGTGGAGCTGTTATTGTTTTGTCTGGAATGTTTCACAGTATGGCATTAAACCTTTCTATCATCATGGAGACCATACCAGGTCAGATCTGTGAAGAGGCAATCCCGCTCACAGTCAGAATGCCTAGTTTTCTAAGTATTTTTGAGCAATAAAACCAGCTTGAAAAAATACAATGTAGTTAATCTGGTAAATGTCATACTGTGGAACATTCTAAGCAGAGCAATGACATTTCCACAGAAATAAGAAGGTGAAAGACCCGCTACCGAAAAGTTACATAAGTAAAAAGTAAGTAAAAATCAATGTATACCTGATGTGTGAATAATGCTGAACAACAGACACCACACTCTTGCGGACTTGTGAAACTATAAGGTCCATATTACCTAAAAATAAATACTTAGTTTGGGCATTAAATGGAATTCAAATTTTATTAAGTTTTAAGTTTTGTTTTACCTTTAGGGGCAGTGTCATAATCTACAGCCACAACTACCACTCCTTTACTAATAAGTGGAACAGCCATAAACCCGGACTCCTCTTTGCTATCGACAAATTTAAAACATTCACATTAAAACTGAAGAACTATCAACACTTAACAAGATGGATTATAAATGTACCTGAGAAACTGCCAATACCCCCCATGTATATAAATAACCAAAGGCATATCTGTAACAGTATCATGGTAAAGTAAAGTTAGTAATAAGAATTGACATGATAACAAATGTCTGATAAGAGACTAACCCAGAGAATTAGTGCTTGGGATGTACACGTCCAGTTTTTCTCCATCACCTTCTCCATATGGAACATTTAGAAGGGTTTGAGCAAGAGCACGAGCTTTGTCAGTACCTAAAGAAAACAACATAGATCAGTGAGCAGTGGTTATTTAGTTCACTAAAAGGTGGAAGAAGTACTCAATTTTATTACTTCAGTAGAAGTAGAGATATTGAAGCCAAAACATACTAAGATAGTAAGATATGAAGATAGTAAGAGTATGACAGGAAAACATCTACCCAAGTAAATATATTAAAGTACTCATTTAAAAATGTACTTAAAGAGTAAAAAGTATAAGTATTTTGCGCGGAGTTTGAGATCTAATAAAGCTTCAGATGTAGTGATTTTTAAACAGTTAGTGAAATAATAGATTTTTTTTCCCTAGCTAGTTTTACTCATATTTTTGTTTGCTCAAACTATGACTTTGATACAAAATAAACCCTGCAGTGTTTTCAGCAGGTCTCACATAATAATAAAAAACTTTTCAGTCCTGTTAAAAAAAAGTTTGTGGCATAGAAAGTACAGATACTCCTCTAAAGAGTATTGAAGTAAAAGTAAAAAATATCCACTTTACTAAATCAAGTACAGATACCTTACACTTTTACTTAAGTACAGTTCTTTACTACTTTTACTTCATTACTTTCCACCACTGCCAAAAGTAATGCATCAATTATCTTAAGGCATTGAGAGTAACATTACCAAATATTTGATCACTGATCCTCTTTCTTCATCCCATCTTCAGTCCTTTCCCTTGCTATAATTGCAAATTTTTTCACTCATTTATTGTCAGCTCCAGTCTACAGAGGCTTGGGGCAGAAGCCTAGCTAACGAGGGGGTAGGTGGCTGAGTCTTTCAGCCACCTTCCCCCTCGTTAGCTAGGCTTTTTGAGGAGTACACTAAATAATAACAGGTCTCATCTATGATCATGAAGTAACTGTATCTCATTGTCAGCTGGCACTTATCTTTAGCTTGTCATTTAATATTCATCTGGCCTATTTATAATCTCAAACGCAGTGATTGCATTGACGCTTTGCAGAGACTGACCTTCCTTCAAAACCCTCTCGTGCGCCTTGATCACTTCGTCCGCGGACATCCTGTGGGACCACCGGCTGGGAGAGTACTGCAGCTCCAGCTCCTGTCGGAACCAAGAGAGAGGACTATCACCGGGCCGCCATGAAAAAACCAAAACCGATTAATGTACAGCGCATAAACAGCGCCACCTGCTGACAGCGTCGGCATCAGATAGTCACCTCCGACCACAGACCCTTTTAGCTTTTAAAACGCCAGGAATGTCTAGAACTGGGCTTTTAGTTGATCACTGGGTAGCTTACATTTAAATGGCCCATAAAAAGTAGATAACAAGAATAATCAGATAACCCAATATTCGATCTAAAAACACTTGACATATTATAGGATATTTAGGGTAACTAACATATACAATATATATCACATAACTGTTGATGTTATAAAAGTCAATCTTTAACTTAATTTCTCTTTGTCAGTTACCCCCATTTGCATAGGCTATTGTCCACAAGAAACCATATTTAGACAGAAATGTTCTGTTAACATGAATTTTCAATTATTTGATAACTCCAGAAATCAGATAATGATTAGGTTCTTTGTGTGCCTGTAATGCAAACATATAGCCATTACGTTACAAAGATAAAACCATTACCACCACCACCACCACCACCACCACCACCACCACCACTACTACTACTACTACTACTACTACTACTACTACTACTACTACTACTATATATAAACTTACGCCTTTATTCATCTCGGTCCAGTGCATGTTTTGCTGATGATAAAGCTTAAATGTAAAAAGTTAGACCAATTGCATGTACAAAAGTGGACCTCACGTTAATAATCAATAACTTTCGCAATAACTTCAACGTAAGTAAACAGGGGGCGCTGCATAACAAGGCCAAACAATACCACTATTTAAAATTTCCATTATTAATCAAAACAGTCTTGCAGTACGTCTCATTAGCATCCCACAGATTCCATAGATTAACCTTTGAGAACACTAATCAAAACAAAAATACAGCCATAGCCCGCGCGGGGTCCAATGGGCGTGGTTTAGGTGGTTTCCAGTGTTTTGTTTGGATAAAGTACTCACGTGACTGTCTCTTTCTTCATTTCTATTGGTTAGATTAGTTCCGCTGTTGATATATCCTCCGAATTTGTTAAGAGCGCGCCACATTCAAGCGCGTTAATGTAACTGTAAATACTGTACAACATTGTAAAAGCTTTTATTTTTTGTCTGTTTTCTTCACATTGTTTTCTTCAAATATGGACTGCATGGATTTCCCGAGAGTTTTCCCCAATTCTCCCAGAAAAGCGCGCGGACAGATACAGGTTTGCATCTTTTGCTGTCTGAAACTAGTTAAGAAGCGTTTTCTAAAACAACTACTAGATTATAATCCGCATTGATATGTCTTTAGTATGAATTTATCTGTCAAATTAACCAAGTAGTTCCAGTGTAGTGTTTCATTTCTTTTGCCCTCGTTCTTTGTCTTTGCAGGTCATCTTTGGACCCATGTTTTCTGGAAAAAGGTGAGCGATTCATGCGGGTCATATATATAGTACCCCATTTCAATTGATCTAACTATTGTCACTAGATTTCTGTTAATTTAAAGAAATGTGTCACTTTCCGCCAAGACTTCCCGCCAAATAACCTTCTATTGTTTCTCCAGCTGATGTCAGTAAATAATGTCACAAGTATATTTTTAATAAAATAATTGATTTTTTGGGGGGGTGTCAGATTTTAGTTTGTTGATTTTTATGCAGTAGTGGAAAGAGTGCTGCAAATTTGTACTCAAGTAAAAGTAGTTACCTGGCTAAAATTTACTCAATTACAAGTACTGCTTCCAAAAATTTACTAGTAAGTAAAAGTAAAAGTACATATTCATTTTTTTAGCAACATTTTAGATTGGTGTTTTTTTATTTGAACATTTTGTACACAATATGCATATTCTCTGAGTCGATCAGCAGGTGATGTGTCAGTTTAGGAAGGAGCAGATGAATCTGAAAGAGCTGTGGGATGAGGCAATTTGGACGTATGCAATACTCGGTACTTTCATGAGTTTAAATGTAACTAATTACTATTGCATTGCTATAATTGTACTCAATTACAAGTACAGGTTTAAAAATTTACTCACTTACTCACTTTACTTACAGTTATGTAAATATCAGTTACTTTCGACCCCTACTTTTATGCATGGTGCAAAGTAACAATTTTAATGCCTATTTATGTTATTATATAAAACGTTTATCTGTTTAGTCAAATGAGTTTCTTTTAATTTTCTATGCAGTACTGAGCTGATGAGAAGAGTACGGCGCTTTCAAGTTGCACAATACAACTGTTTGGTGGTGAAATATGCAAAAGACATTCGCTACTCTGAAACGGGCATGGCGACACATGATAAGTAAGTTGGTATCAATAATATACAAAAAGGTTGAAACTTAATTCCTCCCATTACTTACTTTGTCCTGTTTTTTGTTTTTTTTAATTCTAGGAACACTATGGATGCAGTGTCTGCAAACTGTTTAGCAGATATCCGTCCTCTTGCATTGAAAGCCTGTGTCATTGGAATTGATGAAGGACAATTTGTAAGTATGTTATGAGATAGAAAAGGTTTCACTGAACATTTTTTAAGACATTTCGACAGCCATCCAAAGTCAGTGACAATAATAATGTCCATCTTGTCCATTTCAGTTTCCAGATATTGTGCCATTTGCTGAGGAAATGGCTAATTTAGGAAAAGTAATCATTGTGGCAGCACTGGATGGAACCTTCCAAAGAAAAGTATGTATTTTTCTGTGACAAATGCAGTTGCAAAAATTAAGGCCCAAACAGAAACTCATTGTTGCTTCAGACACAATAGTATGCCCTCTGCAGACCACATGGACAGACTGAAAATTACAAGCTTTCTCCCTTACAACAATGCACATTTGTCTCTGTAATGTGATTTAAGCAGAGTATGTTGTGTTGATTGTCTTTTCTGTGCAACTGCAGGCATTTGGGAACATCCTGAATCTGGTTCCTTTGGCGGAGAGCGTGGTCAAGCTCCATGCAGTCTGTATGCAGTGTTACAAAGAAGCAGCTTACACAAAGAGGATAGGAGCAGAGAAAGAGGTGAGACAGCTTAATAATGGAAAAATAAAATATACATTATTGCACTATTGCATGTTCCACACAATAGCATTAAACTTGTGTATCTCCATGGAGACAAGCATGCAAGTTAGATCTGCTTGTGTGTTTTTCAGGGTTTTTGTCATAAAACACCTGTAAATACTAGATAGATCAGTTTAATCATGATACAGTGAAAGATTCTACGCAAAGCAGTAATATGTCCATGGAGACAAGCAGGTGACGGACCTTCTACCAGGGAGCATAGCACACTTTAAAAATAAAAATAAAATTAAATGGACATGGACATGAAATCACTCGTCTGTTTCAGGTGGAAGTGATCGGAGGAGCAGACAAGTATCAGGCAGTGTGTAGAAAGTGCTATGGAGGGCTGGTGTACAAGGAGAACAGTGCCCCCTTCAGAGAAGAGACCCCACAACACACCCTCAATGGAAAACTGCTGGATGCAAGCATTCCCCGGAAACTCTTCTCTGGCATGCACCTCTGAAAATAGGATATTCGTAATTTGAACAACTTTATGAATGAATTTAAGTGTTTTTTTATTTGCCTATGGAATTGTTTAAATTATTTTTTTAGATTAAAAATTGCACTAACGTCTTGTCTTTCATAATTTCAGTTTTACCTTATTTTATGTTAGCCATTAAAAGCACCTGGTGACTGTTTTGAAGCCTGTGTGTGTGTGCGTGCACAGTGTAATTCAACGCTTTCAAATGCTTTTGGAGACCAAAATAACCTGTTTCAGTTCTGGCATTCATCTTCTGAGGCTGTGCAGGCAACTAGAAAGCTTGACACATACAGAACAAATGCAATGTTTTAATTATATAAATAGACATTGCAATTACAAATGTATATAATCAAGGTCATTATTTTTCTTTTACTTTTCTGTTTCAGTCAAGGCTGGTAGATATAGTCTGTTGCATAATGCACTCACTTAACCAGTGTTGGAAAGGTGACTTTTAAAATGTATTCCCCTACAGATTACAGATTACATACCCCAAAATGTAGTTTGTAACGTAATCCATTCAATTACTTAAATTGAGTAACGTAATCTGAATACTTTTGATTACTTGATTTGCTGTAGAGAAGCAAAGACCAGGATATCTTCACATAAGTCTGCTAAGACAATGAAAAGCCCAGTCTTTACTTAACAGTATTAGAAATATTATTGATGGAAGAGAAGGAGACATGGTCCACGCAGCATGGTTTAGTTCTGTTAAATCCTGTTTTAGACCTGGTTTAGTCTTGGTTTAGACCTAGTTTAGTCCTGGTTTAGATCTGTTTTAGACCTGGTTTAGCACTGGTTTGGACCTGGTTTAGTCTTGGTTTAGTCCTGGTTTTAGTCCTACTTTAGTCCTGGTTTAGACCTATTTTAGATCTGGTTTTAGACCTGGTTTAGTGTCTGGCAATGAGTGGAATTACGGAGAAAAAAAAAGGAACTACCCTGAAATGTGAAAACAGGAAAATACCGCCGTGTAATACATTTATTTCAGCAAAGTAACTGTAATCCAATTACCACTCACTGAAACAGTAACTGTAACTGAATACAGTTACTCATAATTTGTACTCTGATTACGTAACTCCGGTACATGTAATCTGTTACTCCCCAACACTGCACTTAACAATGTACAAAACTGTGGTAAGGTACACATTGTTGTCCCCAAAGGGAAATTTGTCCTGCATTTTGCCCATCCTTTGATGCAATTGGGCATCTCCTCAGGAACACTGAATCCCAGTATGTATAAGTTGTCAAGTTGTTTGACAATTCATAAGGGCTATACAGTCTTTAGGAGCTTATACATCCTACAGACTTGTGTTCCTTGTTAATGAGTCACTGTTCAGTCAAATGGATAAGTCCTTTATCTACCTGCCCTTCATTCTTGACTACCTTTCCTGAGACGTTTAAGGGTCATAAAACCCAAACCATTCCAGCAAAATTCAATCATGAAAATTCATTATAACTTTCTACTCCAAATTGGCATTACAACACTATCACCCAGTGTACTTAATTTCATGCACCAGGGCTAACCACTTATTCTAGACCTCTTAAACAAACTCAAAAAGGCAATAATTAAGCCATTTAAAATGGCACTTTATATATTAATATGTAGAAAAGAACAAACAAATGTTTTACAAAAGTCAGGGCAGGTTGACATTTTTATCAAAAGCAAAATGTTACCTTTGACCTCCAGTGTAGACTAATCATTATCGTGTGTAGTGTCAGAGGATAAAATTCAAGTTACTAAACAGGCTTAACAAAACTCAACTCTCAGATGTAAGCATCCATCCGCAAACACAAACAGTGGACACTAATAGTCTTTTTTCATGGCCTCTACATAGTGGCACTGTCCACAACTATCCCAGTCAGTCCCTATACCCACTGAGGTGCCCTTGTCAATAGTTGGGCGGTTGATATCCAGAGTCCACCGCTGGCTGTATATTTGGGATGAAGGCGGGCTGGTCACTGGGGTAGGTGGAGTACGTGGTGGGGTTATAGGGTGTGGGGTTGTAGGATGCAGGTGCATAAGTTGGCGGGTAGGGGGCGTGCTGGTCTGATGGAGCTTCAGTGTGGAGAGTCATGTCATGCACCCCACGGCGGTAACGGCCCAGGGTAAAGTAGGTGAGGATACCCTAAAATGGGACAGTAAAGTTAGAACATTTTTGTTGATAAAAACTGAATATTTGCACTAAAGAGGTTCAGACATCCATGCAATACAAGGCTCTCACAAGAGCTTCTATATCCCTTATAATGTATACATAAGTAGGCAACTAATGCAATATTATATATGTCCATCTCCAGTTGAGATTATGAACTGTAAAAAAAAAAAAAATCTAATCTCACAATGACAGAACATATGAACTCTGAATTGAACACTAAAAACTTCATTAAATTAATATTTACCACACTATAGAGTCAAAAAACATTTAAACATTAAACTCCATTGGTTTAACATTAGGCTAATTAAAGAGATTTCAATTTATATTAAAAAAATTGTTTTTAAGAAGCAACAGAAATTTCTAAACTGATGTCAATATAATCTTTTGGATATAGGATATAGTTTTATTTGCATCAGGACAACAATATATTGACAAAGCCATAGGAAATGTTATGACTTTACATCATGAATTCTATTGAACACTTTTAATTCCCCTGTTGGCGTTGCACAAATCAAAAAGTGTCTATGTGATTTGTAGTGTACACTTAAAATATTTGCATGTCCAGCATAATGTACAAAAAACACTTCCTGTTTTAAACCAACTAAACCGGTTAAACTTTGTCTGTCTAAACAACAAACTTACCCAGGTAGCGATGGAGAAGAAAGAGAATGCAATAGTAGCCTGTGCGGCCTCCACAGGGATCCCAATGGTGACGTGAGTCCGAGCCCATTCACTGGCCAATAGGCAAAAACACACAAACCACAGGAAGGTCCACAGCCCTAAACAGAGGGAGATACGCTTAAAACAACACCACAATACAAAGAAAGAGCGTTCAGGTGTCCAGCTGCTGATATTGATAAGAAACGTCTAACAGAATAATAATCAAAACAATAACAAATTGATGTCAAGTGTTATGCTAAGTCACCTGGGGATTTTTTAAAAATAAAATGTAACCAGTTAAAATATGACAAAAACAAATTATTCTTGCCTTGTTTTGATTTAATAACAGTGTAAAGTTTTTGATAAAAACTGTTTTGATAAGTGTGAATTAAAGTGAATTCTAGAGATAATGACAATTATTACAACAGTCAAAAATAAATTGTAGTAAAAAGTAGTTAATTAGTCAAGATTATTTCAGACTACTTTTTGCAGCCCTAAATGGAATGCTGCCTTAAAAGGATAAAGGATTCAATTGACCAGAAATCTATAATAACACATTATTCCAAAATCATAAATGTAAATGTGGGCCTTGTACCTGAGAATGCAAGTTCACCCATGATGATGTATTTCCTGTCTGGTGCACTGCTCATGTAGGGCAGGTAAATGTCAAGCACAGTGAAGACCCCACAGGCCAAGAAGGCGATGACCCCAATGGCCACAGTGAAGTGACAGGCAGAGTCATTCTGGTTAAACATGCAGTGTGCCTCTGTAGACGTTGGGGGGTTAATGTAGCCCTCATTTGTAATGGTCCCAAACACCACCAAAGCAAAGATCTGAAGAGGACACAGAGAAATCAACAAAATTTACAACATTGTATAAGTTTTTATTACCTCAGATGCCCTTCCAAACAACTAGGTTCCTATGTTCAGTTGTAGGCAGGACTACGGAAAAGGGCTGTGAAATATTTAAATGAAATTGCAGTTTGCATGGACACAATTAGAAAGTCACAAAGGCTGTAATTTTGAAAGAACCCTAATTTCCTCCACAAGCAACAAAATACCTCATCTTACTCTGCATTAAAACTGCAAACCCTGTGGTTTAGATGTTCACAAGCATGTTTTGTGATTCTTCTATTAGTCAGTTCATATTTAATTTTTATCAATTCTTCTGGACGCATGCAAAATGTAAACTTTGAATAATATCCTTTATCATAAATGTGTGGCTCACATTGTGGACAGGCATTTCACAACAGCCAGTACTGTTGATTTCTTCTCCATCTAACCATGGACTAGTGATACATGTCTTAATAAGTGTAGTAGCCCCGGAGCTGCTCTGCTGTTGTCCACTCTGATTACCTCTGAACCATGTGACCTGTTTAAGTGCAGCTGCCTGACATGTGACGCCACAGATGCCACCAGCGTCTAATAACAGAGACCTGGACACAGAGGAGGATGAGCCGAGGACAACTATTTCTGTGTGAGAACAGGAGACCCCATCGAACTATAGAAGGGTCAAAATACAAAAGTCTATCCCAAAAGACCTACTGGCAAAAGTTTGGAGATTGTTAGAAATGTAATGGAATGCTTTGCTCATAAAACAAAATTAGTTATTAGTTGTATAATTTTCCACACTCCTGAATGTTATGCAAACATTTCTAGATCAAACAGTGTAATGTATTTTATTTATTTAACCAGGATAATCCCACTGAGATTTGGAATATCACTATGGGGTCCAGGCCACAGAGGAAGCCCTATTGTACTTAAGGTCATAAACACCCCCATTCTAATCCTGCTAAAATGTTGTACAAAAGTCAAATGCAATTTCTTTAACATATAACTAAATCATGTATAAATCATCTTTTTAATTTACATATTGCCAACTTCTACAGGAGTACAGTTCTGGAACAGATGGTTGCTCCTGAACATGAACGTTTAGTGACAGATGTCTGTAAATGGGACAAATATGCAAATGAGTGCAGAGCTGAAGACAATAGCACTTAATACTGTGGGGTTTTGAAAAGAACAATAAACACAAATGTAGTCACAACTCTTAAGTATGCTGAACCCTGATTCACAGAAATAGGACATACAGGTGTGACCTTAGCATTAGCATTTAAGAGTTTGATTTCTATAAACAAAACCTCAACTAATTTTGCTGAGCTCAAACTGTTAACAATTTCTGAATCTCCAAACTCTGAATGAATCTCTCTCAAAAAATCAAACAGTGTTTGGGGTAAATGGGGTCTGACCAAAACATATTTTACATAACTTTGCAGTTGCACATTCTATGGGGTCATTGTTATAGACTGCTATGTCCACCTTGAGAAAAATGCAAAAATTTTTCAAAACAACCAGTGACTACAATGACCACCCCTTAATGCCTGGAATACTAAACTATGCTGAAGACTACAGAAGAGCAAGAGAGGACAAGCTTTCCTTGTGCTAATACTGGGGTGGGAGATATGGTGAATAAAAGGATAATAGCATAGTCTTGGACATGTGCAAATTAGAATAATGAGCATAGCATAGCCAATAATAATTAGACATACTCAGAAAGGCTGCAAAAAGCTGGTTAATTAACATATAGAAACTTTCAGTGTAATTGTTAATACCCATACAATGATGTTTAATTTTACAATTTTTGTGCAATACTTGACCTCAACCAGCCATGTTTTAGTTTAGCATTATATCAAAAGTTATTCATTTTTGCCAATATCCCCTATGACTCAGTTAGATGACGACATAACCATAACTATGGTATAAAGAGGATCTCCACTCAGCTGTTCCTCTGTACTTGACTTTTGGATCACGACACATATTTGCAGACTAAACTGGCATGCAGGGAAAGTTGTATCATCTTACCTCCTCTACACTGTTTACCATAAACACCTCACATGTAGTTCCCCAAACAGACCAAGGGCATACATATAAAGTCCTTATATTTTAATTAATTAATGTTACTAAGTTTATGTTTAATATGTTTTTTAGTAAGATATGTAGATCTACTTCAAACATTAAAATGTAAATCATAGTTTCCTGTAAAATTTAGAGAAGATTTAAATAATTTCACTTTTGGTTGTCACATAATTTGTAGTCTAATGCTTCCCTTGTTTACCAAAGAGGTGGAACCAGGAAGAGTAGATCTACACAAGTTGTTGGATAATGATACTAATGTGAAAACTGAAATTGTAAGTCAGATTTATTCTATTTTGAGAGTCAGTCTTTTTCACAGACAGTAGCCATGGCCCTGAAAACAGTGTCCAGTTGGCCAGGCTCCTGGATAATGTTACCCTTGTGTTAAAGAGACTTATTTTAGTTTACACATCACACATCATATCACATTGAACCTCCAGAACCTAGCAACAGGTAACATAAAGCTGCTATTTGCTATTTGCCAATACGGTTTTACCTGGTATATAAAGGTTAAATAAAAAAAAAATTAAAAAAATACTTAACTGAGTCACTAAACCATCAAAATCCACTGAATGTGGTGTGTCTATCTGATTAACTGTCAGCGAAGGAGCTTTTTTGCTGCTGAATGACTGACTTTCATTTTGTGCTGGGCCTAAAGCAAGACCATGTAGTCACAAGTCAAAAATGTCAAAACAAATATTCTGGTAGGTAAGTTTAAACAGGCCTACAATCTCTGTGTATTGTGCAGGCTATATTCATATCCAAATAGCTCTACATTTGTGAAACTTTCCTCATGTTCTTAATTTAAACCACTATCATTTCATAGCCTATATACAGGCTTCTTTAGGTTCAAGATCTACTTTTGTGAATAAGGATACAGTTCGTGGCAAGGAGCTTTAACTAAAGTATAGACTATTGTTAAAGTAGTCAACTGATTTTATTGATTTATTGTTTTGTTTTTTGGGGGTTTTTTTCGACCCTATGTGATGGTGTCATACTCCCAGATATGGGGCAAGAGCCAGTTTTTCCCTATTGATAACACAAAAGCCTACATTCAGATGAAATATCCAAAAGGTGAATTCACAAATGCTGAACCTGATCATTTCTATTGGTGACTATAGACCCTAGAACTCGTTGTATTTCAACTAAAATCTGCATTTTAAGAATACAAATTTTAGCTGTCCCCATCTGGGTTAAATATTATTGGCCTATATAAAGGCGTGATGTCATCTGAAAAGCAGCAACAGCCAAAAGTATTTGCTTGTGATAGATTATTGACTATCTGTGAAGGAGTGTCTGTCTGAGCAGTGACAAAGCAGTGTTGACCTGCGCTGTCACCGAGCCGCTGTCACACACCAGCTGCTGCAACATGACGCCCGCGGGGACCATGCGGATAGTAGCTCGTTGTTCTCTGTATCACACAAGACTTGAGAAATATGTGTTTACGCAATTTCATAATTCAGATCAGCGGCGCACCTGTTCTCTCTCTCACGCGCCAGGGGAAGTAAAACTAACTTTCATCTTTTCTCGCCGCACTTACCAAGCTGAGACCCCGTACGATGGTCTGTGGCTGTCGGATAAACTTGTTGAAGTCAAAGCCCCCTCCTGCAAAAGATAGTCCGTACGCAGTAGTGTCGCCCTTCTCCTCCATGTTTTGTCTCCTGTCCTGGGGCAGCGCTCTGGCCTCCAAACTACAACTAAACTAAACAGTTTCTTTTAGCTGCTGTAGTGCTCAGCGCTGCTTGGAGGATCTGGAGAGGGGCCAGGAGCCGTGGGCACGCTCTGGATCCTGTGCGTTGCGTTTGGGCGGAGCCAATACCAGAGTAGGCCTACTTTACGTTTAACCCAAATAAATTACAAAGGTCATGGAAATACAAAAGAAATGGCTGGGACTTGCTGTACAATGTGCTTCACAGAGCAATAAAACAGTCGGCAAACATAATAAAAAAAAAAAAAAAAAAAAAAAAAAAAAAGATTGAATACTTCCAACTGCATAAGCACGTCCAAATAAATTGTATTTTTAGTTTCAGACAGTGATGCCAGATTAACACAAGTCAAAATACAAAGATAAACATACACTCACACAATTCTATAAAAGTTTTTTTTTTTTTCAAGTCTTGAAACAATTATATTTCTTATCACATATAGGGTGCTTCATTTGTTTAAAACAAATTCGCTCAATGATCCTGTTTATAGCTCAAACAGAGTTGTTCCTCAAGGCAGCAGAACTGGTTGGTCCTCCTCCTGTTGCTCTGACACATTTGTCTTCCTTGTTTTTAACCAAGGCCAGTCGTTCACAGAGTCCACTGACACCTGTACGCAGAATAAACCTTCAATTTGTGTAGCATATAAGCGTTTAATTAATTAATTTGTTTGTTTGTTTGCTTCATTTTTATTTCTCATTGTCATTTGTTTAAAAGAAAACAAATCTAAAATTATATACAACATCAGACACTGAACATCATGAAATTTTGCCAATTTGCGTGTTTGTTTCACAACTGGGCCAAATTTTAGTCAGAAGTTTTAAAATGTGAATGTAGTGTGTCTATATAGCTATTTAAATTATTACTTACCTGGTCAAATTCATCCACCATAGCTTCTTTCATATCTTCAGTGTCCTCAGTGAACTCAGTAAATCCCTTTACCAAAAATATGAAATGTACAATAATGTAATCAATTGACAAAATACATATAATAATGACTTACCAGATCCTCTTCGTAGGCTGCAAGCATTTTCTTCATCTCAACTCTGCAATAGAAAGAAACAACGTAAGAGTCTACTTAAGAAAACACTCAAACCTTATGAAAACATTATGAAAACATAGTACTTAAATCTTACCGTGGTTTAACATCATTGGTCCTTGGTCCTAAAATATTTGATTAGAATATTGTCAAACATGAGGAAATGAACAATGAAACTATATATACTGCATAACTGTAGTTGTATCTTACTGTATACAATGCCAATACCACAGCAGGTGCAGACCAGACCTATGAGAAGTGCAAAACTTCCAAAGACCACAGCAACCACCACATCAGGGATCCGATTTAACACTGTCAGAGCAAAGAATGAAATCATTATAAACATATCACGTGTAAAAAAAAAAAAAAAAAAAAAAAAAACTATTATGTCAGTTTTTCAATGCCACTGGCAATAACTTGTTCAATAGCATATAATATCATGACCCTACAATATGAAAATATACAGCCATGACATTTTGGTTCTGTTAAATGTCTCTCTCCACTCTTCACCCCAATTTCATGCTGTGTACTGTCCTCTAATGTTTACAATAATTCTTAATGTGGAATTTGGAGAAATTCAGTAGCCTTACTTTAAGGGCTTATATTACACAATTTTCTGATCTATGTTATAATGTGGTATCAGAAACATACCAAGAGATTTTACTTGTTTCATTCACTCCTTTAACACACAAACCCTGCATATTTAGGTTGAGTTCTTTTCTCAGATGGAAACAACTCCACCTTGTGATGTCATGTGATAATGCAGGAAGTGCTCCACTGTGTTTTTAAACTCCATACACCTTCACTACAATCATTTGGATGATTTCAGCCATGGAATTACTAATTTTTACTGAACTAAATGTAAAAGGTACCTGCTAACTTGAAAACTACCACTTCATGACATCGCAAGGTGGAACTGAGCATTTTGAGCTTCGAGGATGTAAACAGACTAATCATAAAGTGTAACTCAAACATATGTGTATGAAACAAAACACAATACCAGGTATGTTTTTGAGGAGGTAACACCCTTTTAACATGGTTTAAATCTCACAAGATTCAATTTGTGTAATAAGGACCTTTAAAGTAATTTGAATTCACAATATTAATCTGGATGTCAGTAGTTTTTACCAAGTTAACTTTGATTGTTTTTGTAACGTATACAAATTTCACACCTTTGACAGATAACTGAAAGAAGAAAATCAGTTTATAAACTGTATTAAAATAGTACCTTCTTTATCAAGATATTTTCTTCTGCTGGGTATTGTTTTTGTGTTGTCAAAAGTATCTGACACCTCACAGTGGTATGTCCCAGCACTGCTCCAGTCCACAGCCAGTAACAGGATTGATTGTTTTGGGGGGTCATCCACCACACGGTAAAAGGGTCCCAGGCCGTGAGGGAGCAGGGTCTCGTTCAGGAACCACTCAAACTTCACATGGGATCCTTTTAAGGGTTTGCAGTAAAATCTCACCCCGACCACAGCGTAGTTTGACCCGGTGTCATAGTCATAATATAAAGACACTGGGCCTTCCACTGGCACTGTGAAAATTAGATCATATTTGTCAATTTCATTAAGATAATATTATGGAACAACATAAGAAATGTTTTTCTAAATGTAGAACTCTAGAAAAGTTTTGTCTCTCAAATATATAAGTAAACCAAGAAGACAACAGTTTACTCCTTGGGTGGAAAACTGCGTTCTAGACCAATGTTTCATGGTTCAACATCAAAGAGAGAAAAGGGGTTATGTGGGCAGGGCTAAAGGTTCATTTCTGATGCATGATCTTCAGCATGTTTCAAAATTACTTGCCCTTTAAACCACTACAGTAGCAATGTTAGTTAGGATGCATGGTGCAACAAAACAGGAAATAATTAATTTTTTTAATGTATTTTTGGAAGTGTACCACATCCAGAATATCAACTGTGCCCAAAATGCTCTATTTTATTATTGAGATTTGTACAATTATAATTACAACTGGTTAAAAATGGAACATACCAACTTTCAGTTCCATCCATCTACTGTGTGCGATCTCATCTCCGTTTTCAGCTTTGCACTTGCGAAATCCCAGGTGCTTCCCCAAAACTATTGGGATTTTAAAGGTGGCATTTCTGTCTTCTGCTGTTACATTACCAATCAAGTCATCATAGTCCCAAAGAGTAAATGTGATAGGAGGAGTTCCGCTTAAAGAATGGCAAGAGATCAATGCAGAGTAATTCATATCCTCTTTCAGGACAGTGAAGGAGATGTCAGGAGTGGACACAACATCTAAAAAATTATAAAATTGATGTTATTTATAAAGGTCACTAATATTACAATTTGAGTTTGCTAACCTTTGATAGTGATCTGAACTGTAGAGCTATTTGACTGGAAGATGGTCTTATTGTAGGAGTTCTGAGCAATGCACATGTACAAGCCACTGTCTTTAGATGTAGTTCTGCAAAGACAAAATTATTAGATTTTTTGTGTTATAAGCTTATCAAAGATACAGAAGTAAGATCAAAATCAGATTTTGGTGTCAGTGTAAACGTAGCCAGTGATACATGAAACCATGCCAGTGATTTATTAAAAATGTAGTGAAAGCAGAATCAACTAAATATATTTAGCAATTATGATAGATTTACTTTTATTCATAAAACAAAAAATAATTATTATATATTAGTTTTACCTGTAGACTATGAGCTGGTTGTTATAAATATATCGATAATGTGTTTCAGTGATTTCTTCCCCATCGAGAAGCCACTTGTAGGTCACATAAGTTCCTTTCTTCACTTTACATTGTAGATCTAAAGTCTTGCCTTCAAAGAACTCAGTCTGTCCTGAAGTTACCACCACATATGCTTCCTTCACCGGCTCTGAACAAAAACAAATAAATATCTTACTTACTTTAAAAATAACTGATTGATTCTTGGGCTAACTCACCAATGACCCTGAGGTGCTGGCTGTGGCTCACTGTTGGCTCAATAGATGTGTTGTTCTGAGCACTTGCCACACACACCAGGTTTCCATCGTGAAATGTTTTGATCGAAATGGGAATAACTCCTCGCTCTCCAGCCAGAGATGTGGTTTCACCAAGAACCTTACCACCGTCACCCTCCCTTAAATAAAAAAAAAAAATCCACCAATCAATGAATAAACAAACACATATAGTCAGTGTTGGAAGAAGTATTTAATTTTACAATAAAGCTTCAAGTGTAGTGAGTTTTGATAAAAAATTTTGCCAACATTTTTTTTATCTGTTTTTAATGGCATATTTATGTTTGCTCAAACTATGAACATTTAAAAAAAATAAACCCTTCAGGCTTTTCAGCAGGTCTCACACAATAATAAAACATATTTTTACTCTTTAGTCCAGTTCAAAAATGTAGTGGACTAGAAAGTAGAGACACCAACTCTCAAATGTAGTGAAGAAAAGGTAAAAGTATCCAGTTTAAAATGTTTTTTAAGGAAAGTACAGATCCCTAAAATGTATACTTAAGTACAGTACTTTACAGTAAACATGTTTAGAAATGGAAAAGTTTTGACAGCCATCCATAAGTCATTTTCAATCTGAAGATACAGACTGAGAAGCTAGAAATGTACTTATATGTATCTGCAATGTTTTGAGTGAACTTAAAGGTTGTATAGAGGATTTACCAAGGAATGAGAAATCCAGCGACTGTTTGTCCTTTTCAAATGTTGCGCATGCGTGAAACCACCCCCCCTCGCCCACAGCTCCCTACGTAGAAACGCCTCCTCCCGCCTCCTCCTTATGCCAGAAACAGGTTTGTTTACAGCCGGTGCGCTGCACATGACTTGTAAACAACTAACTACAGTGTTGGTTAGGCAAGGCGGAGAAATGAGGAGCGGGGGGAGCGGGTGCGCGGACATTTCGTGCTCTGAGAAGAAGTGAGGAGCAGGGGGAAGAGCGGAGCGGGGAGCGAGGAGAGGAGAGGGGAGCGGTGCAGAGAGGGGTGCACGGAGATTCCGTGCGAATGAACTAGCTACAACACGCAGCAGCAAGCGGACTCTTTCTTTGCCTTGAAAATTACGTTTTCAGACATAGGATATCGCATTCGTGTCCTGAAAAACGTTTGTCTAGCTCTTGGAAATAAAGTACATTTTCATAATAAGCAGAAGTGACCTGTCCAGGAGTAATTTGGCGACCAGTGCGTCAGTCTTTAGACCCTGCGTCTGCTTCAGTCGCGCCATCGCTGGAATGAATCTCCAAGAATCACCTTAGTTTGGCTTCGTTGCTTTTCCCCTTATCTTCTTCTTTCAGCGACCTCAAAAACGGACTTTCTTTTGCGGCTAACTGCTCCTGGATTCTTGTCTGCCATTGTAACAAACTTTGTGCTAACTGCGAGGAAGATATAGGTTAAAAAAAACGCTAAGAACTGTTGCGTTGGTGGAGTAAACAGCGTCTGTGCGTCTTGTGTCTGTGGACTGCGTGACAGGCGTACGTAAACCACGTAATGGCAGCGCGCAGGCAAGTCAGTTACGCTAGAAACGTAGGGAGTTTGATTGACAGCCTGTCAGCTAACAGATAACAAGGCAGTGTCGTTATCTATTGGCAAATGTTTAGCCCCACCACGTCCAGAGTTGATTAATTTTTATTCTCTTTTTTCTGGTCATCATAATTACAAGGCTACTTCATCTCTATAATCTATCATTGACAATTTGAAACAAAAAAAAAAATCCTCCATACAACCTTTAAGCAGAAGGTAGAGGTCATAAGGTTTTAACAATAACTAATACTTCTCTTGTACATTTTACCAGCAATGCTATTATTACAGCAGACGATTGTAATACATGTTGAGATGTATTTGTGAGAGGAGACAGTTTCACACTAAATTAAATATAACATTAAGTTTTGTGACATTTTGAAAATATTCTACGTCATAAAGGAATTACAGCATATTATAGATTTCACTCACTTGAACAGCTGCAGTAGGATAGTTTCATTTCTGGGATACACATAAAGTTCACAATAAAATTCCACTGCCTTCTTCAGAAGGGCCTCATGGGGTCCATACAGCTGAGGTTTCCCCAGGACAGGAGGGTCTTTACAAAATTTCAATTACAAAAATGAAAAATATTCTGTAAAAATTCTCTTTTAGCTCTGAACATCATAACCTAAAATGAAATGAGTGTAACACCTACCTTCATAACATAAGCCCAAACCTGAAGGAAAAAATGTCAGTGAAAAGATGTTGCTACTATGATAACTGAAAGTGCAGTGTTTTCTTACCCACAATCACCATGAATAAAAGATGAATAATCATATCCTTAAAGTTACGACAGATCTCTACATAACAAACTGTTTCTGAGAGCAAAAACTGAAGCGCTGTTTCAGACATGTGTGAGTTACTGATAGTGAGACGTTGTACCTCCCTGCTTAAGGTGGAACAATCCAACTCCAAATTCAAAAATATCTTTAATCAACATATTAAACAAATTAAAAGACCACACACACGCTTCTATATCTCATCAATATGTGCTGTTTATTACAAAACACAAAAACATACATCCATAACCATGAAGATATAAACATATATATCTGTGATTATAAATTGTTCTTCATCAGACTGTAACTTCAGAAAACTGCAACAAAAACAGTATTTTGTTATGATATGTGGGTCTGGCTGTGATATTAAGAGAATTTTATCTGGAACTGATTCACTCATTTCTAATTGCAGATGATTTCCTTTTGATTTTGTTTTGATCTTGGTAAAAAAAAATGTGGTTTGAAGCAGAGTTCAGACATAGGAGGAAAAAAAATGAACTTTTGTTTTTTTCTTATTGCCCGACCCAATTGATATGTGTGTAAAACTTTATGATAGAGACTAATAGATGTTCACCGAGAAATTCTACATTCTCAGAGACAGCCACTCTTGTCTGTTTGTAATTTAACCACATGTTGATCACTGAGTTTTTTCTTTTTTGTTTGTTTGTTTCTTTTTTGTGAATCAATTCATGGTATGGATTTGTCCTGCCCCAAACAAAGTGTGTATGTAGGCATGTGTGATATGTTTTTTGGACATTGTTGCTCTAGAAGGCATTAAGCAAATATTAAAACATATTTTCTCTTTACCTGGTTTTGATTTTCTTGCAGGGGACCTGAATTAGATGATCGTGCAGACATGGGATGTTCAACTGAACTACAATTCAAAAAGAAATTTTTGGTAATACACAGTTATGTATGTGTGTGTGTGTATATATGTATATATATATACACACACATTATATATATATATATATATATATATATATATATATATATATATATATATATATATATATATATATATATATATATATATATATATATATATATATATATATCATTATGGCATTTGCTTACTTTGTTCCCTGAATATCTATTAAGAAACAGAAAAACGGCATTATTAGATATTATGGCTAGAGCAGGAGTGAGAGTTTTATGTATTTTAACCTCTTCTTTGATCGACCATCTTGTAGACACAGGCCACACCCACAAATAGGGCTAGTAGGACAAAGCAGCAGAAAGCAATGGAGATGTACTCTATAGAGAAGGTAGAGACACCTGTAAATGAACAAGAATGAGTTATTGGTTTAACAGGAGTTAGGGAAGTTGTCAGAGATAAACATACAGTTAATATGGTTTTACTTGGCAATGCAGAGGTGGGTGGAGGTGGGAGGGGCTCTGGGCACTGGCTTAGATATTCTATGAGGACAACATGTAAAAGGTAATCTGATTACATGGTGCTCTGGACTCTCTTTATAAAATATATAATAGACAAGGCTGGGCAAAATATTTTTAAAATGAACACAAATCTAAACTTTTTTCCCATCATATATATCAATAATTTTTTTCTTTTCCAAAACTAAATAAAAAAGTACTTTCAATTTTGACATAATGAATCCAAATAAGACATAGTTCATCTTAGTGCAATTTCATAAATAAAAAGCCTTATTTCTTTCTCCCAACCATGTGCTTTTGAAATGATCAGTTGTATTAATATTTAATCAATTGTCCAGCCCTAATCAATATAAGATGAAATAAAAATTATCACACCTTTGAATTGCACCAACACATCTTCACTCTCCACCCAAGGACCCCTCTCGTCATAGCTGTCTCTTGCTTTGCACCTGTAATTTCCAAAAACCTCTGGTCCAAGCTTGGCTAAAATTAGGGTTCGTCTGTGGTCCATGAACGCAAAGGGAGGAGTTGTTTGGGGGATGTAAAATTCTGTTTGGGTGTCTGAAGGCAGGACAGAGCCATTATGGAGCCATATGACAAATGGGAAAGTTCCTTGGCTTATCTGGCAACCCAGTTTAGCAGCAATGACTTTGGTGTCAGATCTGTAGAAATACTCCACCTGTACTTTTATGCGGCCTCCAACTGGGGCTGGTCAAATGAGAAGAGACATATTTGAGGAAGTATGAAAACACAACTTTCACATATACTAAATAATAATAATAATAATAATAATAATAATAATAATAGTAGTAATAATAAATTACAATTGTGCATTCATTTTGTAACTCTTTCTAAACATTCTGAACAGATTAAAATTGACAGTAATACAATATAAAAGTATATGATTCATACTATCATCATATCTTCATGTGCACCCGATGTCCAAATCAGGCAAAATGATTAAAACTACACCAAAATGAACATTAACAAAGACTTAATGACTTCAATAAACAAAGTCTATTGTGACTGATATGGGCTTAGCAACTACTTAATTAAGGTTTAGGAGTTTGGGTTATGGCATTAATTAAGTAGAGCCTGTATCATTCTTAATCTGATTAAGTCTCATTATTAATTAACTCTATGTTGCTTTGTTAAAGGTGCATTGTGTAACTTTTCTGGATGAGGGTCCGTCAAATGATTTTGTTCATGGAGATGTTATTGCTTTGTCTGGAATATTTCACAGTATCACAGTAAACATTTCTATCTTCATGGATACCAAGGCAGACCATGTTACAGGTCAGATCTGTGGAGAGGCAACCCCGCTCACAGTCAGAATGCTTGCTTTTCTAGGTTTCTAAGCAGTAAAACCACCTGTAATTGAATGAATATAAGGTATATCTGGTTAATGTCATACTATGGAACATTCCAGGTAGAGCAATGACATGCAGCATGCATGAAACAAGCAGGTCATGGACCCCCAACCAAAAAGTTACACCGTGCACCTTTAAGGCTATTGATTATAATTTGTTAAAGAATATTTCGGTGTCAAATGACAAGTAAGACAATGTATTTATTGTTTTTATAACTCACCCACTTCCAAAGCCAGTGGTTCACTCAGGACCTCCTGGACCTCTGTTTGGGCCCTGCACC